ACTGCACTAAGGTTACCTTAGTGACTTACGATCACCTTAGTGCTTCATGAAAGGAGGCCCTGATTATCTGTGGTCTGTGCCACAAGGTAATACAAATAAACATCACAAAAACAAAACTATTCTAAAAGTATTTATTTCACAGATATGTGGGAATGGAGTGAAAGACAAGAGAATGACAGTAGTCTGTAGAGATAGGTAACAGAATGACTGGCAGGGTTACCAACCATACAGTAACATGAAGGGCTACGGCATGTCACCAGGCCATGAACAGATAATTACTTGCTTGTAGGCACGCATAATGCATGTTTTAATGTAAGAACCACAATGTATGCCGAGTGAATGAAAATCTCACTCAGAAAAATGAAACCAGTTCATGATTTCCTTGCCTTATAAACAAAAGTACCATATGAATAAGGTTGACAACAAATACACGAAATGTCCCTATGTTCGTCATATCCTCATCTCTGAACATTTGAAAATGAAAATAGTAAGACTGACATCTGCCTTGTCTGCACCCTAAAACATTGTGGTAAATAGCCAACAACTGGTATGACAAATGTTGTCAGTTTCCAAGCTGTAATCAGTGGATGCTAAAGCATTTTAGCACTTGGCAAATTTCCGCATCTCTATGTTACATTTTGTGTATGTTTTATGAATATACCACTATTTTTGTGAGAATTTGTTCATGCAACATACAAAACTAAATCATTAGTAATGCTGAATCAGTTTAGAGACAAACATGTTTTGTTATATGAACTTTCCAAACTATTTTGAAATGCCAAGTTCACATTAAAACCATAGCCTGTCGTTTCGGTCAAATAAACAAAAAATGGAAGTACTTCTTCAGGGAAATTCTGTCAAGTGATAAATGCTCAACCTTGTTCTTACTATGGCACATTCTGCTACTTCAGAAAAGTCAACACAATTTCCAGGAGACAACAAAATGTCTATATATGTCAGGGCTCGATTTAGTGCTTTGTTACATGCACTGGTGCAACCCAGCATTACAAAGTGCAACCTAGTTATTAGTTGAACTTGCACCAGGTGCAGCTCAATTTTTAGTGGGCAAACTCTGAATAAAACATCTAAATAATTCAATAGCATATTTCTTACAGTACATATTGCAATAAAAGCAGTGCAACTGGAATTTGGCTGGTGCAACTAGGTTTTTATCTTAGGTTGCACCTGGTGCAAGTAGGTTAACATTTTAAATCGAGCCCTGTATGTAACCATGGTAAGATAATTTTCGGACAAATTATCACTTCACTATGAAAAACCAACAAACAGATAATTAACCTGCCTTGGCCTAGGAGAACCACAAGCCTTCATCAGCAGAATACAGAGAATGCTCAATGGTTGCAATGACAGTGGGTGTTGCCTCCATGGCAGTTAACAGGAAGACCTTGGCTTCCATTATGGTGAATCTCAACGGTATTAGTTTGACATCTACTAGTATATCATAAGCTGCATGCTGAATGCAATATATTTCAATAAAACACAACATCCAGTTTGAATGGTTATGAACTGAAGCCATATATAGTCTTTTCTGCAAGAATATTTAAATTAAAAAAACCTTGTGATATTTGAAAGCCATAAAAATGTCTTGTTCAATTGCAGTTCAAAAGTGCAGAAGAATAATTCTAACACATTCGTTTCCACCTACTAATGCTTGGCTTGTGGATGAACGTGGGATGATATTGGTAAATAAATGTTCTGATCCAGAATTCCCATGTTACATAAATGTCATTTCAGAAGAGCTTTCTGAAATGTATTATTTGCGTCTCGATCTGTTCATAAAGGCCACATAATAAATAGCAGAATATTGATTTTGTAAAATAGAAAGGACAATTTAATTACAAGACAGTAAAACCAATATGAAAAAAATTATAATTACTGATCATTGAGACTACACAATTTGTTATTTTGAACACATTTATCTTGAAAGTAATGTTCAATATGGCAAGCTTGACTACTCAGCTGTTGAACACAGATACTTTGTACAAAAGCTATACATAAAACGACAACACAAATGTGACCACCCTCCGAAACTCGAAAATGAGGCTGCATGTTATATCATATACATCTGGATCCCAATCCACAAAGTGTTCAAAACATGACCTGTCAGAACTCTTATAGTTTATCATAGGCTTACGAATGTCATGGCGCTACGAACGTTTTGTGAATCAGGACCCTGGTAACTAATAAGGAACTACGCCTATACCCAGAAATATGTATACTGCATGCAGTTCATAATATTTATTACAAATACCATTTAAGTTGACCTAAACTTATCAATCAGGCAACAGCAGGTACTGACCCTGTATCTTACACAACCAGCATGTTACTAATCATACGCTTGATTAATAAAGGTAGTAGTGGTTATGCAGAGATGCCAACCCTGAACCAAATGAAAGTGGAGTCAAGCCTTGCTGAAAAAAAATTTCCTAAGCCCTGAAGGTGTGAGATGGGTTTTAGCGTGAGAGGGGGTTTGGGCCCCTTTGATGGTGTGGGTCTGGGGGCCTTCCAATATGAAAATCTTTAGATTTAGCCTGGAAATATGCATTTCCGGGCATACTTAACCAGATAATTCTTAACTCAAACTAACATATTTACTAAAATTCTTTCAAACATTCTAAATTTATAAACAAATTTGAATTTTCCAAAAAATCGGATTTTTTTTTATAGACAAATCGGAGAGTGGATTTTGTATTTAAAAATCGGAGTAACTCCCCCAAAATTGGAGTGGTTGGCATCTCTGGTTATGGATGATTCATACATGTAAAATCTTTCAAGTGAAACCTCATTAAATCCAAGCAAGACCTTGTTAATCCTAGATAAACATTAATCTGGAAGGTACTTTTGAATTTTCTGGATTTAGACATTTTTGAATTAACAAATCACTGACTTTCCCTTTACTACAGGTATTCCAGGAGCAGCAATCTGCATGGGGTGTCTCAATCAACAGGTTCTGGAATAATAAGGTTTCACTGTATTGTGTCGCAGGGGACAATGCAATGTGAGTTCCACAAACAAATTGATTCTGTTTGATCATAAGCTGATACTTGTGAAACAGGAGGATCACTGAACCTCAGATCAAGGAAATAGATTAAAAGTTGGAAGAAAAGTTACAAATAATGGCCAGTAAGTTTTCACCCAACAAATGCACAGTAAGCATTGACCTAACATGTGCATACAATAAATTAAAATCACATGGTGGACGATACCATTTTCGAAAAAAAATATTTAAGATTTTCTTTATAACAAATTGAAACAAATGAATGACATCGTAAGGTAGTCAAAGTTGAAGATGGACATCTATAAAATGGTTTCCTGTCACTATGCACTATGGTGTCAACAAACATAAATAAAGCATCACTGTGCAGCATTGAGACACCACAGCATCAGCTATCTGCATATTCAGCATGTCAGTATTTCACTGAACTCATCTAGAAATGTCCTGCATTATCTAAACGTGTTCCAGTCAACTTCACCTCACAACAGGGAGATATGTAAGTTGGGTTAATATTGCTTGTGGATACATGTCTCAATTTTCTTGAGAGAGGGGGAAGCTGACACTGAAACACATCTGAGCTAAGCTATGAGTGGAGCAAACTACGAGAGCAAACTACTCAGCCTCAAGAAGCTGTTAAACATATTGTAAGTTCTCATGTCTCACTTGAATGGAGTTACAGCTGAAGACATATGGTAAATAAATAACATATCGAGATGACATTTTTTAACCTTAAGGTTTACTGAAACTGCCTTGGTTTAAATATATGGAAGAAATTTAGTTGCTTAATGTTCTTACATGTTTCCACCCAAATAGCATTGTCAATACATCCACATGGACTGTAATAGGTACAGCAGCGACCGTGTCATCTATGCCAGTCAGTTCATGATACAACATACACACCATTCTCAAAACCCAGGTCGGAGCTACTATCAAAACAGAAGATGGTCATAACTAGAATAAAAAGGTGAGAATAATAGAAAATCAAGAAAAAATATTAACAATTTTGCAGTGATCCATCTAATGTTAAGAGTGAGTGAGTAAGAATGGTTTTACGCTGCTTTTAGCAATATTTCAGCAATACCACTAGGAAATCATGTGAGGGAATCGCTTTTAGAACCAGGGTCTTGAGGGGTGATATGAGCAAACACATTAACCAGGGTCTTAAACATTGACGAGCAAACACATTAACCACTAGGCTACCCAACTGTCCCTCTAATGTTAAGAACATGTACCTATCTATAGAAGGAGTGCAACTTAACCTTCAACATATACTTGCTAGGGGCCCTTTCCATAAGCCAATCTTAAGGCCATGGCTGCTGTAGGTTTGTATTTGAAAGTTAGGAACCTTTTACTGCTAAGAATGGTTTCTGGAATGGGTCCCAGAACATTACAAGAAAACAAGACAAATCCTGACCCTGTAGTAGCACTGTGCATACCTATAACATCAGACAAATATATCCAAAGGGTGTTAGAGGCAAGTTACAACCCTGCATGGGGATTGAGTTATGGTGGGTCCCTGGGCCTAGATTTTCAAAGCTCTCTTAGTCGTAAGTGCCATACATTCACATTAACTTATGACTATCTTAGCACTAAGAGAGCTTTGAAAATCTAGGCCCTGCTGTTGTCTGGGTATATATTAACTTAGCTGACTATCAAATATCAAGTGACACACAAGATTAATGAGAAGACCTGGGTTCCAAGGCAGCTTGATCTATTCTTGTACAGGGATTTATATTGGGGAAGAAACATTATCTTATCCAAATTTGTTTTGCTTAAAGCAGTTTCCTCTATTCTTTATCTCTTAAATATTTAAAAAATGGAAATACAAACAAATTTCAAATATAGTTGACACAGGTATGGATAACTTCATAATTATACTATATAGTGACATTATCATAAGTCAAGGAAACGTCACTGTAACAGTAGAATGCATTTGTTTTCCACAAACTGTGTCTCCCAAGACTCCCCAAGAGAAAAATCCGTGTCTACGTAGTCATCTGTCAACTTCAAAGAAATGTCACTGAAGACATTTCCAAATGTAAGCTATATGTTGTACACACTAAATTCATAATTATACCAGTTTATATTTTGTTATGGGTCAAATATCAGTCTTTCAGAATACCTGCATTTATGCCTGGAAAAAATATCGTCCCAAGACTCCCCAAGAAAAATCCCTGCTTTTATAGTCTTCGGGACTGGCCAAAACAAGACATGAAACTCCACAACAATGGAAGGTAGAGGGTATACTGTCAATTTCCACATGATACACTAATATTGATACACGATTCCTTTATACATGTGATTACTGCATAACATGCCTGTTATTGCAACATGATTACTATACAGACAGTCAGTATTTACATCATAGATCCACCGACTAATGGTGGACTGGTCCACAGCAGTCTCCCGCGGGCTTCGGCTGCGACACTATATACAAGGATGCCCACGGGGGATGGTTGTGTGGTGGCAGCGATATGAAGACACTGTACACAGAGGACACCGGAACACTGTACAGACAGGACAACCAGACCACTGTACAGACAGGAGATCTGTACATAGGACACCAGAGCACTGTACACACAACACAGGCCCTCCGTACATACGACACAAGAGCACTGTACAGACCGTACAGAAGAGCTCTGAAGACATGACACAAGAGCTCTGGAGACATGACACAAGAGCTCTCTTCATGACTCAAGTGGTCTTTTTAGTTGGACACAAACGGGGATGTGAAGAACTGGCGTGGCCTCTGCGTTGTGTTATTGTGTCGAGATGGCAACCTGTACAAGATAAGACAAATTGTTTAAAACAACAGTTAACAATGCTGATATCATATCTCACTTAATGACATGTATGGAAGAACAGCAGTCTGAATATCTTAAACTTGTGATGTTATATCTTCATCCAGTTTCAGATCTCATAGCAATCTAAATGCATGTTTTCATTTGATTCTGCATGAACACAATTCAGATTCCTCCCTCAGCAGACAGCAGCATGCTCTCCAGACAGGAACCTTTGACCTAGTTTATCACGTGTGAACCTAGTGCACAGAACATCCCCATTTTGACCCCTGCTATTCAGTCGAATGCTCAATGCCTGCATCATCAAAGTCCACCTACATCACAGCTGCTTGTAGATAACTGTGACAGACAAACCAAATCACTGACAGTTTCCTGTGGACCAGTTCTAATGAGGAATCATTTTAAGGGATTCAGGTGACTCATGTTTTGTCAGATGTGGGTTTTGATGACCGGGACATCCAAACATTGTCTAAGTTTACATCTGTAACAGGTCTTCTTCCAAACAAAACGTGAATTTTCACAATCTAATCAGTTATGAGAAACATTAGGTACCCCTATCCCATTCTATGCAAATGTTGGTTGATATGGGGTACAACCGATCTAAGGGCCATGGATAAAGAATTAAGTGAAACTGCACAGATATTGGAATGTTTCAATGTCTGGCAAGCCTTCCGTCACCTCCTCCTTTACAGGAATCGGCAGACCAAGCATTCCAGAAGACGAAGGCACACAGAAGAAGATGGGCATCGGCGACAGGGAGGGAGGAGGGATGTCTGGAGCAAGACATGCATAAAGCTGGGGAATAAGGCTTAGCAACTTCATAATTCAAGCCAGTTCCAATGAATAACTTTGTTTCTCCACTTAAGGTTCTGTTTGGTAATGACCTCTTGCACAACTCTCTTTAAAACTAACACAAAATATTCCTTGATCACACACTGCATTAACTTACTGATTTCCTTTCAAGGATTACAGACTGTGAGAAGACTCTTATACTTATGTCATGTATGTTTTGTCCTACCTGAGCAAAGGTGTTAAAATAAGACCTGGCCATCAGAGAGAACTCTCACTGACTGCAATCGGAGCCAACCGCTTTAATGGCGGCATCAGCCTACCAACAAAGGAAAGGGAGGTACAGTCCGTTTGAGTCAGAAACGGACCGATGAATTGCAAAACTTATCATTGTACAAAATTGCCACATAAATATAAATAGTACACATGTTTATCATTTACTAATACACAACAGCTTTCTTATATTTGAAAATTTTCCGGACTCCACCAAAAAAGTTCTTTAAGAAACTATCATTAAAATTTTGACACAGTTCACTATTAGTTACGAGGGAGGAGTGCAGAGAAAGGGACAGCCAGGTGTTAGAGAAGCACGTGCACAAGTGCCCACCAAGTTATTGATTCATTAGCCTGTGCTGTGCCGTCTCCATTCTTTCTCGCACACCTGGCTGTCCCTTTCTCTGCACTCCTCCCTCGTAACTAATAGTGAACTGTGTCAAAATTTTAATGATAGTTTCTTAAAGAACTTTTTTGGTGGAGTCCGCGGAAAATTTTCAAATATAAGAAAGCTGTTGGGTATTAGTAAATGATAAACATGTGTACTATTTATATTTATGTGGCAATTTTGTACAATGATAAATTTTGCAATTCATCGGTCCGTTTCTGACTCAAACGGACTTTAACTGCATGCAGTCACAACAAGTGACCAGACTGATGGCAGGGTGATGAGCGGGGTGATGAGCGGGGTGAGAAGCAGCAGGACAGCCTTAAGCATGGCATCAGGATTATGATGGCGATGACGATATGTGAGTACAAGATGATGTATCAACACAGGGTTACACCATGACAACACATCTACATGTCTGGGTGATTTACTCCATGTACACAAGGAGAATGTTAAGGCAGGACAACTGAGTATGTAGATAGATTGGTTTAGTTCTAACAGTTACCATGGTTACTAGCAATGACACATAAGCCAGGGGGATATACATAATCATCAGGAGAGGACATATAGTGGATTATACTACATGCTATTTGATATAAACACACCAAGAACCTCCATAGATCCTAATTAAATCATTGTCAGAGAACAAATCCTGTCACAAGCCTGGTTAAGCAACATAAATTGATGGTAAAGACCCATCACCGTGCCTCAACCACCAACATTAGGAGCAAATGAAATAGATGTTGTTGTTTAATGCCGCACTCAGCAATATTCCAGATATATGGCGGCGGTCTGTAAAACAAATCCAGTGGTCTGTGAAAATGATCGAGTCTGGACCAGACAACCCAGTGATCAACAGCATGAGCATCGATCTACACAATTGGCAAAAGATGACATGTAAGTCAACCAAGTCAGCCAGCCTGACCACCTGACACTATGTGGAGGTACACAGATGATGTTAGTGATGCCTAGAGACAGGTGAGATAGTCACAACTGTATTGCATGAACAGCACACTGTCAGGTGTGAGGTACATCTACATAATGAACACACACAGTATGGACACAGCATGTGGAGGTACACAGACGATGTTAGTGATGCCTAGAGACAGGTGAGATAGTCACAACTGTATCACATGAACAGCACATTGTAAGGTGTGAGGTAATCTACATAATGAACACACTGTACTTATCTAGCATGTGGAGATACACAGACGATGTTGAACAGTAAGGTGTGAGGTAATCTACATAATGAACAATGCGTGTATCTAGCATGTGGATACACAGACGATGTTAGTGATACATAATGAACACACTAATGCATTATCTAGCCAGGCGATGTTAGTGATGCCTAGAGACAGGTGAGATAGTCACAACTGTATCACATGAACAGCACATTGTAAGGTGTGAGGTAATCTACATAATGAACACACTGTACGTATCTAGCATGTGGAGATACACAGACGATGTTAGTGATGCCTAGAGACAGGTGAGATAGTCACAACTGTATCACATGAACAGCACATTGTAAGGTGTGAGGTAATCTACATAATGAACACACTGTACTTATCTAGCATGTATCTAGCATGTGGAGGTACACAGACGATGTTAGTGATGCCTAGAGACAGGTGAGATGGTCACAACTGTATCACATGAACAGCACATTGTAAGGTGTGAGGTAATCTACATAATGAACACACTGTACGTATCTAGCATGTGGAGATACACAGACGATGTTAGTGATGCCTAGAGACAGGTGAGATAGTCACAACTGTATCACATGAACAGCACATTGTAAGGTGTGAGGTAATCTACATAATGAACACACTGTACGTATCTAGCATGTGGAGATACACAGACGATGTTAGTGATGCCTAGAGACAGGTGAGATAGTCACAACTGTATCACATGAACAGCACATTGTAAGGTGTGAGGTAATCTACATAATGAACACACTGTACGTATCTAGCATGTGGAGGTACACAGACGATGTTAGTGATGCCTAGAGACAGGTGAGATAGTCACAACTGTATCACATGAACAGCACATTGTAAGGTGTGAGGTAATCTACATAATGAACACACTGTACGTATCTAGCATGTGGAGGTACACAGACGATGTTAGTGATGCCTAGAGACAGGTGAGATAGTCACAACTGTTTCGCATGAACAGCACATTGTAAGGTGTGAGGTAATCTACATAATCATGTACATATTTAGTTAAGATGAAATAAGTCCTTGAACACAAATTTGTATTTCACATGTCACTGCAAGTATTTACTTCTTGCAGTAAATATATTACATATCTGTCAATCAGGCAACAAAGAAGGCCCACTTATCACATGAAGCTTAGGGAAAAGTCCATAAACACTGATGTCAGATCATCTTGTTTCAGGTAGAATGTCAATTACTGCAAATATTTTGATCATCTGTTCATCATGCAGAATAAGTGATTACGCTTACAATTATCATCAATTAATAGTCATTAGTGAAAATATATGAGTTGTCATGCTTTTTATTTTAGTATATATGACTTTTGCTTACAAGTTAACAAATCAGATATTAACAGTGAACAATGAACACTGCTGAAGAAATATGGTTTGTCAGCTATATTTTAGACGTGATGTCTTTTATAAAATTGTTTACTTGTTTGATAAGACAATGAGTTGAGCAAGGTGTGACACATACCTGGGAGTCTGTGTTGTGTTTCTGGACCAGGTCTGTGTTCGCTGGGTCTCGGCCTCGTAAGATCCAGGCGTCAGTACTGGACCCAGTCGACTTCAGGGAACTGTCATCATTTGATATAATCATGAATATACGCATCATTTCAAATCCATAAAACACAAATTGCTATACGTTGTTTCCATCACTTCATCTTACAAGTAGGGGCAGTGGGGTAGCCTAATGGTTAAAGCGGAGGCTCATCACGCTGACGACCCGGGTTCGAATCCCCACATGGGCACAATGTGTGAAGCCCATTTATGGTGTCCCCCGCCGTGATAATGCTGGAATATTGATAAAAGCGGCGTAAAACCCAACTCACTCACTCACTCTTCTTACAAGTGTAGTATATATGTGAAGCTGTAGTCTAAGTCAGGGAGTGAATGTGTTTAACACAGTCATCAGCAATATTCCATCTGTATTGTGGTGGCACCAAGTCTACCAGATATACAAGTGACAGGTCTAGTGGCAATGTACATCATTACATCATGGTCTGTGAGCCTGACCACCTGAACCAATTTCGGTAGTTTCATACGAGAAGTCTATGGAACCCACCCCAAAAATACAAGGGGAACATGTACATGTAAGAAATGTCAGGAGGGACTGCGTTACCTGCTCGGCTGCAGTCGGGTGTGTTTGGTGTGTTGGGATCGAGGGGATATAAGCTGGTGTCCTCAATATTGAGGAACCTCACCCAGAATTCACCAGACAGTTCCAGCAGGTTCTCCATTACCTACAAAGACACATGAAAAGATGTCACAAGTACATTCACTTAAATTAGCCTAAAACATCTTCATCCTAAATCAGAGGAATCTCCATTCTATCACAACAGGAACAATAAACTATGACGACACTATGCTGTGATTTTCCTCACAAAACATAATTCCTGTCAGTACTAGTTGGTATCTACAAACACCTGTTGTATGGGACAGGAACTGAATTATCTAAGTAAACCTGTCTTCACTGACGTCATTCAGTGACAATCTGATCTAAATCCCTGTAGTAAAATAGAAAGTCATCATTCTGTGTGAACTATATTAATGCCTGACAATGCCATGATACTTGATGGGTATCTGTTTGCTGTGTTAATACAGATGTTGGAGGATGTCACAGTCCACTCACCATGTTCTGTCGGCGTGTCTCATTGATCATCTGCATGGGTTCTGGTTCTGGGGTTGAGTACCCCACCAGGGTAGGACCAAACACCTTGGCTAGGTTGCTGATGGGCATCTTACACTCCGGGCACTCCGCGATCCTGCAACATCGTCATCCATACAGTTTACAGAGTCATGGCACGAGGCAACATAAAACAGCTGGATACTTCTTTCGCTAGACTGGAGGACTACGATCACAAGTAATGGACAACCTGTATCATTTATTATCAGCAGATTTTCAAATGGCTTGTAGGGTGGGATCATGTGATACAAACAATTTTTGAGTGAGTTTGGTTTTATGCCACACTCTGCAATATTCCAGCTATATGTTGACGGTTTTTGTAAGTAATCCACTATGGTCCAGACAATCCAGTGATCAACAGCATGAGCATCGATCTACGAAATTGGGATACGATGACACGTGTCAACCAAGTCAGCTAGCCTGATCACCTGATCCCATTAGTTGCCTCTTACGAGTGACCCATCAGTGACATTGTTTTAACAGCCAATCATAATACTTTTAATATAAAAGCATCACACCTTTCGTCAATGTTAGTGCTGTGTTTACTATTACACATGACCTAACCAGTTTACAGTATGAGACAGACTTACTTCTGGAGATGCAGCGCTAGGAAGGCCAGGGTGTCTCTGTTGGCCTGTGGGAGGTGCTCCACCAGGCTGTACAAGTGTCTCTGGGAGGTTTCTCTGTCAGCAATCTCTGCACAAACAAATCAGTTCATCAACTCAAAATGCTCAAAAACGACACCATCACTCCAGTTACAAGATACACACAAGCTGGAAAAAACCCACAAAAACCATAAAAAACAACAAAATTTGAGCAATAACAAGATTTTTTTTAAAGACATGCTTACTTCATTCAAGCCCACATATCAGTGCATAACATTCTATTTGTGTTTGAGTTATGGACAAATCTTTTTGCTTAACGTTGTCAAGCCTTATGAGAAAAAAGTAACTGTAACATATATACATTTAACAACAGAAATGAAAAATGTTTGTCAAATTCAGGATATTCTCAAAACAAGGCAGGCCTTTTCAAGCATGTACAAATTTTGACTGAACTGAGCATACATAAAACATGTTTTCAATGACAAGACACGGGGAAACCTTATTTCACTACTTCTAAGAGTTAGTAGATAGCACTGCTTAAAGGAGACAGATATGTTTATAATGTTTACATTTCCTGATGGTTTTATTCAGTACCAGTTTGAAGCAAAACTAATGCATTGAGAACTGATTCAGAATATTATAGCCCTCAAGTGCTCCAAGTGAATGAGAACCATCACTGGATATGTACTTGTCTTCAGCTCAATGTAGTAGTCTCAGGGCAGCAGACTAGTGGCAATTTCAGTTGCTGAGGAAGCAGTACTTACCTGCAGACTGGGCAAACTCTAGCCACAACTTGTATGTGACCAGGGGTTCCTTCAGCCCTCGCAGGAAGTCCTTCAGACATCCGCACACAACGTGGATGTCGTGGATGTTGTTCTGGAAAAAAAGCACATCATGACACACCTGGTCACTGGCCAAAAAGATGAAAGGGAATACAAGCTATGGACACCTTCAATCAGTTATGTCTTTTGTTTGACTGTTCGACACCACACTCAACAGTATTGAAGAAATTATAGACTGGACCAGACAATCCACTTATTGATAATATGAGAAGCCCAAAGGGTAACATAGTATTTCGCTGTTTAACGCAACACTATTATTACTACTATATGACTGTAGTCTGTAAATAATCAAGTGGGGACAAGACAATCCAGTGATTGACATCATGAGCATCTACGTAATTTGGATATATGGACATGCATCAACCAAGTCTCCCCACCAAATCCTGTTAGTTGCCACTTTTGACAAGCATGGTTGCTGAACAGGAACTGTTCTAACCTAGACTCCACCTACAAGATACAATGCTGTGGATCTGTTCTAACCCCGACTCCACCTACAAGATACAATGCTGTGGATCTGTTCTAACCTAGACTCCACCTACAAGATACAATGCTGTGGATTTGTTCTAACCTAGACTCCACCTACAAGATACAATGCTGTGGATCTGTTCTAATCTAGACTCCACCTACAAGATACAATGCTGTGGATTTGTTCTAACCTAGACTCCACCTACAAGATACAATGCTGTGGATTTGTTCTAACCTAGACTCCACCTACAAGATACAATGCTGTGGATCTGTTCTAACCTTGACTCCACCTACAAGATACAATGCTGAGGATTTGTTCTAACCTAGACTCCACCTACAAGATACTAGTACAATGCTGTGGATTTGTTCTAACCTAGACTCCACCTACAAAGATACAATGCTGTGGATCTGATCTGTTCTAACCTTGACTCCACCTACAAGATCTGATGCTGTTCTAATTTGTTCTAACCTAGACTCCACCTACAAGATACAATGCTGTGGATCTGTTCTAACCTAGACTCCACCTACAAGATACAATGCTGTGGATTTGTTCTAACCTAGACTCCACCTACAAGATACAATGCTGTGGATCTGTTCTAATCTAGACTCCACCTACAAGATACAATGCTGTGGATTTGTTTCTAACAATAGACTCCACCTACAAGATACAATGCTGTGGATCTGTTCTAACCAAGACTCCACCTACAAGATACAATGCTGTGGATCCGTTCTAACCAAGACTCCACCTACAAGTTACAATGCTGTGGATCTGTTCTAACCTAGACTCCACCTACAAGATACAATGCTGTGGATCTGTTCTAACCTAGACTCCACCTACAAGATACAATGCTGTGGATCTGTTCTAACCTAGACTCCACCTACAAGATACAATGCTGTGGATCTGTTCTAACCAAGACTCCACCTACAAGATACAATGCTGTGGATCTGTTCTAACCTAGACTCCACCTACAAGATACAATGCTGTGGATCTGTTCTAACCAAGACTCCACCTACAAGATACAATGCTGTGGATCTATTCTAACCCTGACTCCCAACAAAGGATATGCTGCAGTGGATCTGTTCCATCTAAGACACATCCCCACAATGATATTATGAAGGAACCTGCTGTACTCACCAGCCTGGGGACACCCTTCCCCTTGAAGAACTTCTCCTTCAGGTCCTTCACCTCTCTGTCTGACCTGCAACAAACAAACACTTGCAATATACACATCGCCCGCCATGTCATTTGTAAGATGTCTAACAAACATTTTGACAACATGGTGTGAGTGAGTATGGTTTTACGCCACTTTTAGCAATATTCCAGCAATATCATTGCGATGCAGACCAGAAATGGGCTTCACACATTGTACCCATTTATGGAATCAAATCCAGGTCGTTGACGTGACAAGTGAATACTTCAACCACTAGGTTACCCCCACTGCCCCTTTACAGCATGGAACAGCTGAAACTGTCCATTCAGAATTTTAAAATTTAAATTAATCTTTGGTCATATAATGTTAGTGTCGATTCAATTGATGCAATACAGTGTCTTTATTCCCAAAGTATGAAACAGAAACACATTCAGTTTGGAATTCTATCATGGTCCATGAAAGATTGTTAAACCACAAGTGTTTCCTTACAGTTGGCAACTTTTTAAAGTTTGCTGGGATGTTATACATTCACTGATTATACATTCAAAGGATTTCCAAATTCCTGGCCATTTCGAACTTTGCAAGAACTTGGCACACTGGAGAGATGATGGTGAGATGACATTCAGGGGATAGGTGCCATGTTATAGCTGGTGGGGATATTTTAGCACAGTACTGGTATAAGTCCTCCCAGAAAGAAGCAGACATTGCTACCACTATTCCTCTACCCTAGGGCTTGTACAAATTATTATTCGCACTATTTAAACATTACAGGGGCATCTTTACCTGGCCTGGTAATGCTTTTCAGGTTAACCTGGACACACAGCTGACTTACCCTGGTACTCTGTAGATGCCCACCTCTGTCAGACCCCGTGTCTCAACCTCGTTCACACAGTGAACCTGGCAGGGGAAAATAAACAAGGAATGTTTATAACCGGTTGTATTTAGACAATGGATCCAAAGCCTACCAGAATATATTACAAGTCTGGGCCCCATTTCACAAAGCTCTCGTAAGCCTAAGATCTCGTAACTTTTCTTGTAGCATTCATACTCCAATACTGTATCATAGGAGGTACGAATGCTACAAGAGATCTTAGGGCTTACGAGAGCTTTGTGAAAAGGGGCCCCAGTTCATAACTACTATTGATATCTGCACACCTTCAATGATGATAGTGTATTCATACATTTGCAAGAATATTGACACTGAATTAAGAATTCATTGATATTTATTGAGATTGGTGAGTGTGAAGTAATATTTCTACCCAACTGGTAATAAAATCGAGGTAAGTCATTTTATTTGAACTTGTTATTTACACTTGTGAAAGAGCTCATAAGGGTGATTTAGGATATTATTCACTGAAGAATTCACTACAGTAAATCTTCTTGCACTATTTGAATTTTCACTAGAGTAAAAACTCATATTAGGATTTAAGAAATGACCTGTAAACAGTAACTCACCACGAGTGATGGGATCATTGGGGAATCACTGGGTGTAAAATCAGAAATCAGGCCCTGAAACACACATGGAAACCTCATCATACATAGCTGTGCATTAAACAATTATCATGTACAGATGAAGGTGACTGCAACAAATTAAGTGACAGTCTACAAACATACTGGTCAATATCCTACTCTTCCAAGATTTAGTTTCCTTTACACTGACATTCTTCTGCTGGCCCTTGACAACTGAACTGTGAAGAGGACAAGTATAAATCAAAGGATGGTAGTCCCCACTGACTTGTAGCATTTTGAGCTAATACAGGGCTCAATTTAAGAGATGTTAACCTTCTTGCACCAGGTGCAACCTATGATAAAAACCTAGTTGCACCAGCCAAATTCCAGTTTCACTGCTTTCATAGCAATATGTAATGAAAGAAATATGTTATTGAATTATTTAGATGTTTTATTCAGAAGTTTACCCACTCACAATTGACTTGCACCTGGTGCAAGTACGACTAATAACTAGGTTGCATATTGTAATATTTGGTTGCACCAGTGCGAGTAACAAAGCACTAAATCGTACCCTGGCTGAAGAACTGAATATGTTTTCAAAGCTTTAAGTTTGCAACCAATTTAAACTAAATAAACTGAGCGAAAATGTAAGTATTGTTAGTATTTCTGTCTCACTAAAGCAACAGTTCCCGTATCTTCTGACCTAGTCTTAAAAATATTCTTAGCTAGGAATATAGGAGATAGGTCAGTTTAGTGTGGAGTGTTGATGTACTGACCCCTGCTTTCTGGTGTGCTCCTGGGGTGCTGGGAGCATTAGGCATACAGGGGAGGGGCAGCTGGTCCTTGCAGTCGGGGTGACAGGTGGCCTTGCAGTCTGGGGGGAACACACACAGTGAGGAATGGAACAACACATGCAGTGGGAATGATCATGTTTACATCTTCTTAGGAATTCAGATAAAGAAAGACTATTGCATCATTCAACCTAGGTGCAAATGATTCACTGCAAAATTAACCTTTAGATTTCATTTATATTGCTATTCATAAGCAAATTTTGTATAAAAAGGTTGAATTTAGAGGTATCAAATGGAAATAGTTATTCTTGTTAAATCAGTGTAAAATAACAAATAACCACATGGGTAAAATGGTGGTTGATAGACAATGTCAAGAAATAAATAACATTAAGCAATAAACATGATGAAACCCTAATTTATGGATTCACTTACCTTTACACTTCATTGCCAGCTTGCCAAAGCGGATCCTCTTGCCACACTGAAACACAAAGCTCTCATTTTGAAACTGACTGTGCTTGCAGAATATATATGTTCTCACCCCATAACCAGTGTCCTGGCATTATCTCCATCCACATACTATCAAATACATGTACAGAACACAATATAGCTATTCAGTCGCAAGGCAAGCACAGACTAATACCAGTACGCAACAAAGCCACCATCATTGACAAAAGGGCTGCTATATGGCTATAAAGAATAAATGCACATTTTAACTCGCTCAGAATCCATGCTTGAAAATGTCCACAAAGAAAGTGAAGATTCCATGCACGTTGTGTGTCATGTGAACATGTTAAAAGATATCTACACGAAGGTGTCATCTCCCTACTTACTGGCACACAGGTTTCTGGTTTGATGAACGTCCTGGAGATGAACACATGGACTCGGTTGAGGCCCTTCCCAGCCGAGGAGCTGCGACCAAGCACTGGCGTCCTGCTGAGAGAGATACTGTGTTACAACAAGGATTTATCCAGACCAGCTCCAAGGCCGCTATTCATCCCCAAATCAGCATGCAGCAAATGACAGTGAAAATACAAAAACTGAAATAATACTTTTCCTAATTCTCAGAATTTACAAAAATAGTAACATAAAAACAATCTAGTCTTGAACAATGTCTCACAAATAACCACATCCCAAGTTTGTCTGTCTAAGGAACTTTTTTGTTTCCTATCCCAGATAATTCCTTGTATAACCTGCTTAACAGCAGCAAGGAAACTCACATACCTGTATGTGTCTGTTGAAACATTTTTATAGAGTATGCATGAATTTCCACAGTTATTGCATCAGAGTATACAGAAATAATGGCAGTATTTAAATTATACACAGACATAAATCATGCCAAAATGTGGAGTCAGCCAGTGAAGAAGAATGAATAGTTGAGGAATGTGCAGATTTCAGTATAAATGTTCGACACAATCTTCATGTACTGAAGGACAAAACAAAACAAGCAGGAAGGTTGTTCAATAAATGGTGGCTAAATATGACAAGCATACCAGCATAACTACCCAAATAAATAGCTGTATATATTTGATGATTAATATGCATGAGTGTAAAGTGAGTGAACACAATTACTCTGCTTTAGGAGATATTTCAGCCACATCCAGACAGAGGAAGGAAGAACAGGCTTCACCAGAGCTCCAGATAAGATGCACTTTTGTGTATTCAAAAACAGTCTCAAACCAGTTAACATAATTCTGTCTTTTGTAAATTAGTCAAGTATATTGCTGTTGTGAGTTAATGCAACATGTTAGACACTTGGGGCAGCACATGACCAGATATATGTACAAGTTACAAGTCACCTTAAACAGCTTTAAGCACTTCTGTCCACACATTGAAGAAAAAACATACAACAGACTTTCTTAAAGAGTAAGAAAGTACTCCAAAATGTCATGTTCCTCATTCTACAGAAGTTGACATTCATACATTTTCCTGTTCATGTCTAACAGACTGTTTCTCAGGGTATGTATATATACTGCATACCCAAAGAAATTTACCCAAACCCAAAGTGAATCAAAACATGTTAGTAGATACCCATTGGCTTAAAAACACTTGGAGCCCTGCTATTCACTGCAGACATGTGGGGAATCAAATCCAGATTTTCAACCTGACAAGCACATGCTTCAACCAATCAGCTAGCCAATGGAACTAGTTACCATGGTTACAGTAGTGAAAGTATTAACATAATAACGGAAGACAAAGAAAACTATTGCCAGTCCTGAGCAAACAGACAAAATGATGAGGATGAAGACAGGCAAGCTTGGTATATGCGATGCAAGATACATGTCGATGATGGATGCACGGTATATGAAGAATAGATAAGTGGCTAAATATGGTCATGTGACTTGTGGTTATACTGACTGATAAACGTCACGTACCTAAACAACTTACTGCCAGTCTTCGAGCCTGTAGGCGGCTTTGTGCCACTTATGTTTCTAACAAATAAAACATCATATAACAAACACAAGAGTTCTTTCCTCAATTTATTGCATGTGAAAACAGCTGACTGCCTGACTGAGTTTTTTTTACACCGCTTTTAGCAATATTCCAGCAATTGCATGTGAAATGGGCTTCACACAGATTCGGTCTTGCATCAACGCTTTAACAACTAGGCTATGCATGTGAAAACAGCTGAAATCAGCAGTTAGAGTGTATATGTCTAAGAGTGCTAACTTAGTTGGGTGCTCCTAAACATACTTAAACTAGTAATTGTTTTATGGTCCTATCGTGCTTCTTGAAAGCTTAGCACAAAAATGCATGAAATAGCTGTAAAGCAAATGCAGCTAAAGTAGTGTCAGAAGTATAGGGAAACTGAATACATGACACGTTTTTATGGATAACTTTCTATTCTTGATAGTGTTGGGAATTGGTTGAAATCTCACAATTGATGATTGGTTCTTTACCAATGAGCAATCATCGCATGAACTGGTTTGCGTCATTTTCAGATTTTCCTTTTTCTTGGTTTGTTTGTTTTGTTGTATCTACAAACTGCATAAATTGCTTTTGCAAACTTCACATCCAATGTAAAATGATGCAACTTACTACTTTAAAGCGATGACTAATATATCATGAACATAAACTTCCCAAAGTCTTCAAGTAATATTGTCATGACTTTTCAGCAAGTGAAGTGAGTTTCCTAAGAACTAAACATGTTTTCAGGCCCTGACAACTTCTAAGAATTGTTCCATGGTCAAAGTGTTCCAAACACTAAAACAGCACTTCCAAATCCTTATTTTTCAACTTTGAGAAAATGTGATCGATTGCTTGGTTGTTTGGTCACTGCGATCAATCTTCAATTATTTCAATTAATCGGAACACCACTAATTCTTTATATAACGTTTCAAAGCTAATTCTTGCTCCTTCACCTGATGAAGGAGCAAGAATAGCTCTGAAACGTGGTATGAAGAATAAAAGTTGTTATCCATGAAAACATGTTATGTATTTATGTTTGTCCAACTTCTAAATGAATTTCAAAAACTTTATAGGGAAACTGATTGTACATTTATCATTTACTGGGGTAATGATGTAGTGCATTGAGCAGGCTAAAATATGGAGATTTGGCCTGTGTAAAAATCTGCACTTTATTATCATTATTCACTGAAATTTTGTAATGATCTCAATGTCTGTTCAGGATAAATTTCCAAAAGAAGCATTTTAACAACTGAATTGTTAAATATTGTTTCTTCCTGCACTATCTGTGCCTACCTTTATACCAGCTGTCTAACTTTATCTGACACTACTTTAGAAACGAAATCTACCGAGCAAATTATCCATGTTTGTGAGGCTGACAACAAATGTAGTGTTTTGTGGGTGAAGCTGTGAACAGAGAGTTGACACTTACTCTGGATGTGACGGAGTGCGCTTCAGGATTCCTTTCCGGGTACGACTGTTGGAGTTCCTGTTTCTAGGGGTGCCAAAGAAGGAATCATCAGACTCGGGTTCACTGTCTGGAACAAAGGTAACGTGTTGCTTTAGCTAAAGCATGCTCTCAACAGATATGGTGAGCAAGCGCAGGAGTTGGGTTTTATGCCGTTGCCATCTTTAACAATATTCCAACAGAAATAGGTTCAGCTGGATGATGCATCTGAATAACCAAAAGCAGCCATCAAACATCATGTTTAAGCATGCACTGTTGATGCCATTAATGTATTTATTATCCAAAACTGGCTTCAAAAGAAACACTGCTTGAGTGAGATTGAGCATCCTTGGAAATATTTCAATACATTGCATTACAATTCTTCGCAGATCACGGTGATATTACAAACAATGACCTCATTAATCTGTCTGCCACTGAAGCTGTATTGGAATTATTTACCCTCAAACGCTGGGGAAATGATCATGGACCAGTGCAGCATTTCATATGACACACATATTTCAATGAGTCAGTGAAATGTGTCTGATACCACTCTAAACTGTATGTCGGCCACATTACGGTGTTAAATTTTAGTTAAAAGTTGGAGGAAAGCTCTTGAGTGATGCAGTTCATGACAAACTTAACACTTAATAACAGGTAAGGTGAAGTGAGGTGAATTTGGGTTAAATATTGTGCTTGAGAATATTTCGCTAATATGACGACATGCATATGTGTGTATGTGTATGTGCGACTGCTTGTGCTAGCCCAGACTGAAGCTGGTTTTATAGTGCTAGCCCACTGAGATACCATGCCACAATGAAGTATGGGCCGACCAGTCCTAGACGTACCCATTAATGCCGAGCGCCAGGCAGGGACCAACAAGTACCATATTTTAACGTCTTTTGGTATGACGCGGTCGGGGATTAAACCCGCGACCTTCCGCTCTCTGGGGGGACGCTCTAACCACAACACCACAGAGGCGGTGAATAACAGGTAAGTCCACTAGCACAAGGATGATAATAACATACAAGAATGTGATATACACCATCTTGTGCCGGATTCATGAGTAATAACAGGCTAGCAGACTATGGGTAAAACAAAACACTAATTGTGAAAATGATACTATTGATAAGCTAAACATCTTGAAACAAACTGAAGTTTTTACTTAAACTTGAAACTGAGTTTGACAATTGAAAAAGCTGAATTTTTAACTCAACTGCATTTTTAAAACAAAAAAGCCCAAACAACTTAAGTAATCTATCCACCAAACTCAAATTGTCTTGTGTGTTTAAAGTTTAGCATCGATTTCAGTTCATTCTGGGAAGTGCATTTTCCTGCGTTTTCTCAAATTTGAAGAAAACTAACTTAAGTTAAAACTATGACTTAAGTTAGTTTCGAGAAATCGGGGCCAGAAATACTTAGAATGGATACTGACTTCTTTTTTAGCCAATGGAAATGTCTGTTATCTGAGCTTTAAAATGTTTAGCAGTGAGTACAAAGGATTCCTAACATCACTGAAGAAGTCAGCCAGCTGATGCTGACATCCACCCACCAGCATCTCTGTCATTGACTGGTGTCTGCAGGTGCTTGTCTAGGGCTGGCTCACTGAAGCTCTTGTTTAGTTTGGGAACATTCACTTCTGTAGTTGCTGACACAGGCTTGCCACTGCCGTTCACTGTGATGGTGGTGGTTGTAACAATGGAGTTGTTGGGGTCCTGTAAACAAGCTAAACTGTTGAGACATTCGTTTCATCCAGTTTTATATAAAAAAATGGTGCATAAATACTAATCATGATTAATATATGTTAAAAGGTGATTCATCACATGTAAATCATTACGATTATTAAACAAGACAAAACAACAGCATACATAAGAAATATCTATTTTATTTCATTTCATTAAACGACTGTGTTAATGACTCAATACTTACATCTGTACGATGTCTCTTTGGTGATGATCCTCCCCCAAACTCTTCCATCGGAGGAGCAGTGGGACTGCGGCGTTTGTAGCGCCGTGATGGGTACGCCATGTCGATGTCCCCCTCGCTCTGGTCATAGTCAATATCGTCCAGCATAGAACATGACGACTCCATTATTGTGTTAAGTCTGACGGGCAAAGTAGATCAACGTAAATGAGCAACAGATTCATGCACAAAACAAAAGACAAAGGTAATCCTGAAAAATGTGTGCAAACTTTGGCACAGTACATGAAAAGTGCCAATAATCATTTGTATGATACTTTCTTTGTACAGCATACCATGTTCAAAACTGTAAACAAGGGTGTTTGCCATAACCCTTTGAATGTTCAACATTTATAGGGTACTCCAATAGGAATAAAATAAAAACACATGGACAGACCCCTTTTACGTTAAACAGTGGCGCAGTATTATACCATCTTCAGATCATATTTCAGAGAATTCCAGTAAATTTGCCATAAACATTCTTTCTGCTTCACTCATTTTTAACTTATTACACCCTGGAGATGAATCATGATCATCATTGGAGGACCTACTTTTGTGGAGACTCGTAGTCATTGTGGGTGTTGTAGTGTGATCTGAGGTTGCTGGTGTTGACAAAGGCACTGAGGCGCTCCCTGTCGTGGTCGTTCATGCGGATGCTCTTGTTCTCCTTGTCAAACAGCAGCTCCCTCACTTTGTTCAGCTGTTGCTCCTACACAACACGATAGACACATCACAGCAGGTTCACGAAAGTCAAAGTACGTAAAATACCATGAATGATGCAACATTTCACACTGCTGTCCAGTTCAGCACGATTGTCAAAGAACCTATTCCACAATGAAGGTAGAACACATAGCAGACCAGGACCCGATTTCTAGAAACAAACTTTGACAATTTGAAACAGCTAGAATTTTTAACTCAACTGCCTTTTTTAAATAAAAAAAGCCCAAACAACTTAAGTAATCTATCCATCAAACTCAAATTGTCTACTAAGTTTGAGTTTAATATTGATTTCAATTTATTCTGGGAAATGCATTTTCCTGCATTTTCTCAAATTTGAGTACAAACTCTGACTTAAGTCAAAATTCAGACTTAAGTTTGTTTTGAGAAATCGGGGCCAGTAGCCTGTGCTTATTAGGGGTGACTATTGAGGGGGAAACAACTATTGCAATACTGATAGTCTATTGCAACATACTTCTCCGATAGCGATAGTCTATTGTGACCAACTATTGCAATACTATTGAAATAGTTTATCTCTCTGTTTGTATTATCTCGTTTGAAGTCATTTCCCAAATGAATGTATAGTTTATATGAAATAAAAGCATGTTTAATGATAAAAGACTAAACACAAAAGTGTTTATCAGGTGGGTGTAGTTACCAGAGAGTCTCTGTCCTGCTCGGCATGCTTCCTCCTGTACATCTCCTTGTCTATAGTGTTCCTGTAACACACACAGCTGCACTCACCACCAGACTCATCACATACATACACAATAAGTACAAGCACATACAGGAAGTGCTCAAGCCTAAGGTCTGAGTTAGAGAGTATGGTTTCATGCCACTTTTAGAAATATTCCAGCAACATCATGGCAGGGGACACCAAAATTGGGCTTCATACATTGCACCCATGTGGGGAATCAAACCTGAACGAACGCTTTAACTACTAGGCTACCCAACCACTACCAAGTTCTGTCTGAAACTTGCTACTTACATAGGGTGAAACAACACACCCAAACACTGATGATATTATACAATTATAGACTGGTGATGAGGTCAATACCTGTTTTTATGGACCCGCCAAAAGCAATATTGACCAAGGACTTCGTCGAAGCGGGTCCATAAAAACAGGTATTGACTGAATTCGCCAGTCTATAATTGTTTTATTATGTAATTACCAAAAAAAAGCTTCTAAAATCCAAAACATGTCGTTTTAGTCAAGAAAAGTAATTTTATTTTCACTACAAACCAATAATGTTATGTCAACAATACTGTGACATGTAAACAATAAAATGACGTCATTGCTTGACGTCATAGTAACTCAAGTCAATGTGACTTTTGGTCGGACCTAGGTTGGAGTCAATATGCTTTTCTGTCGACAGTCACGTGACCGCCTCTAGACCAATCAGGTAGCCGGGAAAATATGCTTGCATAATAAACAATATTATCATGGTCAGTATAGCAAGTTACCAAGGCATGTTTAAAAGCCTTGTGTTGAAAACATTGAACTCTCACCAGAGGTATTGTGGTTTGACCTGAGACTAGGTACTTACAGGGCATGTTTGAGTCTGGTATTGAGAGCGTTCAGGTCTGCTTGGAGCTCCTGAACTTTCTCTTGCATGCTCTCCACCTTCTGCTCTGCTGCATGCCACTTTTTACGACAGTCGTCCTGACTTCGAACAAATGTCCGGAACTCTGAATCAAAGTGAAAAATATTTTTGAAACAGGATGTATTTTCAAATACATCACGATAACCAAAATCAATGACATGGCAAAAGAATACAAAAAAAACCTAACAAACCAGACCAGATTTTCCCAATTAACCTGACTCACCCACTGTTTTAGTGGCAACCCAAATGTTGTTTTACTGTTGGAACAGCCATCAAGACTGACTGACTGACTGAGTTTTGTTTTACGCCGCTTTTAGCAATATTCCAGCAACATCACGGCAGGGGACACCAGAAATGGGCTTCACACATTGTACCCATGTGGGGATTCGAACCCGGGTCTTCGGCGTGACGAGCCAACGCATTAACCACTAGGCTACCCCACCGCCCACAGCCATCAAGAAGCCAATAATTTACTAGTATTGTAATTCCTTGTTATATGTTACAAAGTATTGACCCATATCTTTTGGGTCTGAGACTTCCAAAAACACATGATATTCTGAAATCTTTGTTTACATGATTCATTACTCTTCTCTGAATTTTTACCTAATGTTTGAAATAGAAGACCTTTTTCATTTATCCTCTTTGATTTCAAAGTGGAAGAGAGCTTCAACATAAATTTAGATGTACACATATATTCCACACTCAAAGTACTGGATTAGTCGGGTCCATGCTACCATGATAAATTTGAACAGGTGAAAACAAGTCATTGTTTTTTTTAGCAAATCAATAAACTTAGGAGAAGCATTGTCGTAATCATTGCTATGCTTTTGAATGATTATCATATCATGTATGATCTTAAAAAAATGAAAGTTTATTTGTAAAAACTACTCTTCTTGTCCAAAGTGAGAACAAAATACCAGCCAACATGGCCAGCACGAATACAACCAGACAACATAAGTGATGAACATATTGTGTGAGTGTGTGAGAGAAAAGGGGGATAATAATCCTGATGCTTAAAGTTTAAAGTTGAAAATTCAAATAAAGGCGCCAACATAAAGGCGCCAACATGAAGGCCCCACCTTAATTTTGAACAGTGTCTACAACCACTGATCAGTACAGCTGGTGTTATGGAAGAAGTCACAATCACTGTGTTTCATCTATGTCGTATAATTGTGATTCAAGAACAAAGACGTCTTTATTCAGTGCTAAATGTTAAAAACAAAATAAGGAAATGACCCATTTACAGTCCTGTTTGTCGCAGTGAAATTGATACCACATGGCATGTGTTACATATGGCATTTATCACATGTGCCAAGAAAGTCAGCCATTCAAATGGTTGACAGTTTTGACGCCTAAACATGCCAACTGACAATATCTTAGATATCTCATAAGTCTGTTGGCATAGATAGCAGGTTAAAACAAATTTTGCCAAATAATTTTCCTAAACATATAAACCACATTAAAGTGATGTCGTACTCTTAGAAATATGGCTAGAAGGTTGAAATATATTGAATAAAACAAGTAATGTGTCACTTGGAACGTTTCTTAGAATCACCAATTGAAAAGTTCATTCCCATCACATCAGGCTCATATTGACACAATTTATTTTTTAAATCAATGAAAAAAGAAAACGTCAATCATGTGAGCATGAAAACAATTAGTGTGTTTTGAAACATTTTAACAAATAATGTCCTCCCACATTTGTGAAATGATCCTGATGTTGACAGTTTCTAACATTTTTAAACTGTACAATAATAACACGTACTGGCAACAATATTACATGTGAATACTATCCCATGCATACAAGACAAATGTATCAAATGTAATCAAAGCAAAATATATATTTAAAACTGAATGTATGAACATTCCATCAATCCAAACTGAATCTGAAAACAACATGTTCAGTTAAAAAATGTCATCAATGGAAACACCTACCACTGCCTCCAAAAAGTGACCGAAATGATGGCATCCTCATGATGAAGAATAAAACAATACAATGTCCTAAGCGTAAATATCCCAGGCCGCACAATGTTCAGCCTGCCTTAAGCCATCTTGTCAGCTTCAACCGACCCCTCACTGCACAGAGCAACAATACCTAGCCGGGATCTAACAGCCCTGGTGTTATGTTCATGTGTTTGAAGGCAAACAGTTTGTGGAGTTGTAAGGTGATAGTATTGTAGGAAGCAGCACCAGGCGACATCCACAGGGAAGGAAATGGTTCATACAGGAAGATGTGGGATCATTAGGTAACACTTGACAGACCTTGGTTCTCACACAAACAACCTGTACTTGGTTCAGGGGAACCAGGCCACCGGTAATCTGTTACTACAACAATAAACCTGGCTGGTACGAAAACACTACTATTGACCGTGTGATTCTCTAAGTAATTCGCACCGATGTGATGCATGGAAGTGGTAACTATATTGGGAAACACTTTAAACACTGACTTTGAGTATCATGTACAAAGAACAGTGTCACCACTATGTGTTTTTAGGACTCGCCATCAGGAGCTAATAACTTACAACCATATTTCAGTGACTCTTACTTGTACTTTACTCTCAATAAATATTAGAGGCATGTTGAAATAAAACACTAATCATTAATTTCTCACATGTATCGTTCACAATGGATACAGTTTCAATTTATTCCGCTCACTTAAATCAAGTCTACTGGGTTTACCGAACTGAGCAGTGGAGTTTTTTTTAAACAAAAGAACCCTTCTACTTCTATGCAGTTTCAGGTAACTACTTAATATGTGTTCGTTTGCTGCCCGAAGTAAGACATGTCCGGCACAATACGTGAGACCTTGCACATCTCGACATTATTCACTTCCACAGAAAAATACACATAATTACACACATTGTCATACTACTGGTTCGAACTTTTTGAAGTTATTTATAAACATGCAACAACATAAATATAGAAATTATTTTACCGTATATTACCGTAGATGAAATTGTACAGAATTAATTGATTTTAATATTTGACACAAGAAAGTGGAACACAAAAGTTTAAAATGGTCATGTACAAATATATCCATTACTTAAAGGTCACATGCAACGTAAAACACAACTTTGCAGATTCTGATACCTTTCGGTATGGACGTAGCGAAACAAATCATCCAAAATGCAAATTCAAGTTATAAAGTTGAAAAATAACGTGATGAAAAAACCCGCGCGAAATAGGAGTTCAAACGATTCACTAACTTTCCCCCGAAAATTTCGAGGAAAACGGGTTTCAACAGCTGGGCTGCGCTCATAGCATGTGCGCAGTGAAATAGGTTTGCGCAACTTGGAAGCGGGCTATCTGGTGAATACTCGGTGAAGGCTTTGGTGTGAGCTATTTTCATAATGTTTTGTTGATATCTCACAGGCGCTAGCTTTTTATATGTTATGACAGTAAATAAACTGTTTATATAATTTCATTTGTCTATTTCACCACACGTTCTTCTTACCGAGTCACTTTCTCAGTTCGATACTTAAAAGCAATGTTATTATTTGGCGTTGACAGAATTTCTAACTGTGATACAGATATGTCGTTGTCACAGACTAAACTCAATGTCTTGTTTTATTGACACCTGTGTGTCTGCCTGCCTGTCTGCTAATGACAATATTCAATACACAACTGCGATCACTGACCACATGCAATTTGAACTTAACACCAATCAGGCTATGCACCATAAACAAAACGCATTGATTTATGGCCCGAGTTCGGTCTCTGTCACATTATGTAATTACACAGACAGGCAGGTGTGATACTTGAACACATGACATGTTATGATGTCTGTTGATTGCAAAATGTTATACACAAAAATGAGCATGTATTTACAAAACCCAACATATCTATATATACACACACAATGAGCTGTGAGGGCGGCATCTGCAAATGAACCAGCCGTTACACTTGAGTGCACACCCACCCCCTCTGACTGGGTTCGGTATACCAGCTGCTTCGTTTCGAGGGAGGTAAACCCAAGTACAAAATATTGCACTTTTGATTTGCGATTATACGCTTATAATTTTGTTTATTTGTTTTTTCATAATCAGCAATGCATATTATATGTCATGAAGAAGTGATAATTGTGCTTTAATTATGTTTGATTTTTTGGTTGCATGTGACCTTTAATGAATGTCTGTATAATACATTAATATTGAACTCAGAAGTATGGTCACTATTATGATTACTTTATGAAAGAAAACATTCATTGGGAAAGCTTGTTATTCAATCACACTAATTATTAATGTTGTTATCAACACTTTGATGTTCAAACTACGAAGTTGTCTATGGCCAGCTACAGACATTTTCCAAAACGTGTTGATGCAGAGATGCCAACCCCAAATTGGTGCAATTAGGAATCTGAGCTCCTTAAGATGTACTCAAGGAACAAAACGTTTCAATGCCATTACACATGGCGATCCTTATGCAACTGAAACCGGTTTGCAGTACTCGGCAGCAGTGTTTGTGATTGTAAAGTGAATACAATACATAGTGCGTGGAGTTTATCAGGCAGCCTACTCAACTTCCGGATTTCTTTCTTGTGTAAACAATTTGAGATGTCTGTAAATAAGGTGTTATATTAATCTAATTATTATTATTTATAGTCAAAGATGATCCTAGCCCTCCAGTAAGTAAGACTATCTATATCTTTGTTATATTTTGAAAAAAGTCAGAATGAATTTGGCTTTGTCGGGTTGGCATCTCTGGTTGATGGGGACCCTGTGTCACATGGTAAAGATCCAAACAGTGATATCATCTCACCTTGGGTTGTGACAGATAGGTGTAAATATCAGATCACAGTAACCTTGGAAACACCAACCACTAGCAAAACCACACTACCAGAATGGCCAGAACATACATTTCAGACATTGCAATTCAGTTTTTCCTTTCAAGAGACACGTATGGGAAAACAGGTTTGCCATTTGTGTGACAACACAACATATGGACCACACCTGCCTCAAAGACGACCTCCCTGCAAACTCAGTGGAACAATGTGGAGGACGCTTCTTTGCAAAACAACATCAGTGTCGCACCCACAACTACGCAGCTTAAATGTGAGGGGGTACAGACACTACTGTTTCACTATTTTAATGTCGCAGTATTTAATTTATAGCATTCAGGCTTTTATCCATCTTTATATGGTAACAGTATCATATTTCATTGCAGCATTATAATTTTTTATATTGTAGTATTAATATCAGTAACATCTATTTAAACATACACATATTATCATGAACTAACATGAGTGAGTTTAGTTTTACGCCACACTGAGCAATATTCCAGCCACATGGTGGTGGTCTGTAAATATTCGAGTCTGGACCAGACAATCCAGTGATCATCAGCATGAGCATCGATCTACGCAACTGGGGACCGATGACACGTGACAACCAAGTCAGCGTGCCTGACTATCCTGTTAGTCGCCTTTTACGACAAGCATGGGTTACTGAAGATCAATTCTAACCCAGATCTTCACGGGTGATGAACTAATATGAAAAATACTAATACAACTGAATGCTGAACAGCAGTTATATTATACCGGTACATAGCAAACAAATTAATAAGAATTAATATATCAATCATAACAAGGTTTAAGTTTGAGAAAACACTAGAATTTGATGATTTCAAAAGGAAAATCAACTCAGGTCTGTGGGGCTTGTTGATTCTTCCTCCAGAATCATAAAACTTGTGATGAAGAAACCACTCGTAGTAACTAATTCCAGACATTGGATCAACCGATGTGAGTGATTTCTCCATGACATATTTTGCTCCCCCAACCCTCTCTTCCAAAACATGAAAAAAAACCCCATTAAAATAATACAGTGCAACATGGAATAACCATAATAGCCTGTCAGGCGGACCTCACCTTGTTCACATCCATCTCTGAGCACCCTTGCATTACGCAGCAGGTCATCAAACGTGGCCACCCGAGATAACTTGGGCTTCATCTGAAATCATGGCCACGAAACAAGTGATCAACATTTCATGATGTATCTAGGACTTCAAACTCCAAATGTCGACCTCCGAGTCTGTCCAAAAAAACACCTGAATTTAGTTACAAATTAACCAGTTCATTTTCAGCTGTCAAACATCTTGTGGTCCTGAGATATATTCAGGTACAGTTCAATCACCTTATTCTGATTCATACATAAAGACTAAATTCTACTGATAGTGATGCTTACTGCTGATCATAATCATGATAATCCTGCAAAAATACAAATTTGGGCTAGCAACAAAAATTTGAAACAGTAATCAAAAGAGAATGTGTAAGGCCTAAAAAAATATTGTGGTTCAGATTACCCGACCGACCCTAGAATTCTGGTGCTGACCCTAATTTTTTTAAAGTGGTATAAATGAAATAAGCTTTCAGATACCATTGTTTATTCACGGCACCGACAGACATCGGTCATTCTGATAGAGAAGTCGACATGGTGGCCTAAACCTTGATTGAATAAACAATTATACATTGATAAATGTGTTACAAGTTTGTACTTTACTTCTAAAAAATATGTTAAAAAAAAAATCCTACCCACCTACCCTAAATTTTAAAGAGGTGTAATCAGGAACCACAACATTTTGTTTGTTTGGCCTAATTACATGTCTCTAAAGTCTTCAACATGTAACTTGTCTAAGTCATAAGTGAGACAGGCAAATAACTACCACTGTTGTGGATAATATTGAGTCAGTCATGGTATCCAGTGGAACTTTAACATGGACGTTTTATTTATTTATCCAAATTATTGTCAGTATCTAATCATCAATTCTAAATTCCTAGTCCTACAACAATTATCATGGGATGCTTATTCACAATAATCTCAGATTCTGACTCTTTTCTGAGCCCATTTATGCAACAAACTGATGATTGAGTCTCCTGATAGAAAATATGAATGTATGAAACATGTTTGGTCGAATGAAAATATTTGGTTTGTTCATATTTTCAAAAGAGTATGGTCTCAGAGGAAAGTGTTTGTTTTCACACCTGACATGTTTCGGTTGATTATATCCTGATCATTTGTTACTCAGAGATGATGAAAAATGTATAAAAGTTGTGAGGAACTTAGGGACATGCAGACAAGTGTCACATTTACACGGAACCTGATTTTTGTAAACACTACAAAACATGGTGTTTTGCTTCAGTGTTCATGCTATTGCATTACAAAATGTTCATCATGATGGGTGTTGGTACGATTAATGTCAAACATTAAAACTTTTTTGTCACTGTTAAAAGTTTACCTGACTCCCTTAGGAGTTACACATTAGCCACAAAAGCTATATTGGGTAACTACACAGTGTTTTATCACCTTTGTATTTACAAAACATTCATGCATATATATTATTGTACACTAACAATAACATCTCAAAAGTAAGGCACATGATTTTAGTAACTTATCCTGGAGTCAGGTTGAGAAGGTATCAGCCGCATTCAAATATCCCATAACATACAACATGGATTCTTACAATCAATTAACAGGAAGCACTGAAACTTTGAAAGAGTTAGGTTTAACACCACTCTTAGCAATATTCCTGCAATATTCAAAGAGGGACACCAGGAATGGACTTCATATTATGTCCATGTGTGGAAATCGAACAAACACCATTGATATTGGATAAAACCCCTAAGGCTACCCCATTGCCCCCACTACAAATGTTGTTTTTTTCTACAAATTTAAATGCAAACATTTCCAAGGGAAACATGGTAAACAAAGTGTTAGGAATATTAGTGTAAAAGTCTCTCATGGAATGTTAGACATGCTTCCTTCTATCTGGGTTGTTAAGGTGCTTTGACCAAAAGTTCAGTAGTTTGAGCTAGCTACTGTACCATGATGTAGAGAATACAGTCAAATAGGGCTAGCTATCAAAATAGAACACACAGAAAGAAATGAATACATTTAGAATCACTGGTCAAGTGAGCCAGTACTGCCACTGTAATGCTTCCACTACTAACATAAACAGCATTCTGAACATAATTCAGAATCTGCCTTCTCCCATTGAGTATATTTTCTGATTATCGATCTGTTTAGCCATTCCTACAGTCAAAGCTGGCATATACATGATATATGCATCAAATGTATAACAATATGATCAAGATTACTGTCGACTTGATGAGCGTCAAAACCTTGTCATGATTTCGTGCAACGGTCATGCTGGTATTGATAATATCATTCAGATAATGAAGTACCAACAGTGATTAATAGTACAAGCATAATGACAACATGTACAGAGTGATCTATGCTGTCTACATGCATTTTCTTTAAAATTGGCACATCACAACAATCAGGGCAATATTTACGTATTTTTCAATATCATTTATACATACTATATATGATATACCAGCCCAACACTACAGAAAAACAGTGTTATGTCCAATTATGAGATATGAAGTTGAACAAATATTTATCATGTTTATTGATACCAGTACACATTATGACATATGCTATACACACTGTGCTTGCAAAATTTTAATCTGGTCACACAACATCCCTTTCAGCATTCTTATTGTCTTTTAACCCATGTTTATTGGTACTCCATACATACTTTAGAAAATGGCTACTGCTTCAGTACACCACCATAGACATTTTCACCTCTGCGATTTCTGGGCCCCATGGTATGAGCTTGTTAGTTTAACAAAAATCTTAGATGCCATTCTATATGAGGTTTAATGTGCAGACCTAAATAATGTGAAAATCCATGCTGGCTGAGTATGGTTTTACGCCGTTTTTAGCAATATTCCAGCAATTTCACACCGGGGGACACCAGAAATGGGCTTCACAAGTTGTACCCATGTGGGGAATCGAACCCGGGCCTTCGCCGTGACGCTTTAACCACTTGACTACCCCACCGCCCCTGAAAGTCAATGAGAAATTGAATTTTGCTGAATTTCCAATGAACATTTGACACTCACATACTAGTTATGTCTTCATGAACATGTGAAAATCAATCTTTCAGATGTATATGATGGCTTTTACCATACTAACGAATTAGGACATTTTGTTTTGTTGACAATACAGCGACACAAAAGCATAGTCATAATTCGGAAGATATTCAACTTCATATATCAGTTTTGGGGTTTATAAAATCAACATTCGTCAAGTGTGTGCACACGAAAACATAATCATTGTTATTCTGTGCACAACTCACTGATTTAAATGTATATTCTTTGCTTGTGCCTTTCGTGGGAAGTCTCATGGTAAGCTGAAATCAACAGTTCATTTGTAAACCAGAATAACATCCATATCATGCTTGTATCATACGAACGTGGTAAATTTTTAGATTAAAAATTCATAAGGATTACTGACCACCTAAGACATTAGGGTTATACATTCGAAAAGTCTGCTTGTCATATAAGAATGTTAACAATGAGAACGTGAATGAAGCTCATCCACATAGCTCATCCACTACCTGAAAATCGCTTCTCTTTTGCATGCGTCAGTTTTCTAACAATCAACACATTCAAAGTGCTACATTTCGGGGTTAGAGTTTATACAGATATCACATAAATTATCAGCATATTTCAAATTATGATTCATTCATACCTGGTAAGGTTTTCTTTCAGGGATCATGACTTTTCCATCTATATTTTCACAATCCGCGGCTGGTTCAAAACGAAGCACTATTAGCCAATCAGGATAGCGTAACTGAAAAGTGCGCCATCTAGATATCAAAGGGGAACAACTCTTCAGAAAACTTGTTTGCTTTTTAAAGAGGGCAAACATTCAGAACGAGATCGAGCACACACAACACTATGTCGAACGGGTAAAAGACATTCTTTTTTTTAGTTTTTTTTTTCATCCGTAAAACGGATGATCGCCTCCTTTAATTATCCTACTTTGAATGTTTTGTGTTTTCTGATATACACATGTTTTAATCTCTTAATAAAACAAGGCTTTGCATTTGTTCGTTTTTACTTTGAATGTTTTGTGTTTTCTGATATACACATGTTTTAATCTCTTAATAAAACAAGGCTTTGCATTTGTTCGTTTTGTTATGAAATACAAATATATGAAATATAACCGGTAGAAATTAACCTTAAAGTTAATTTATTTACACCAAGAATGCGTGTCGCCCCCTTTTATGCAACACGTAGGTCTCGTGGGCTCCTGGATTTTGTTAATAACCTTGATTCTCGGACTGATTGCTGGTCTAGGGCACAGGCCCTCGTGTCTTTGCGAGGATTAAAGATGTTAAAAAAATACAACATTTGAGATGACCCCCGACTCAAAATGCTTCACAGTACACGTACGTTATGATCATAATGTAATGTACTGTGTAGCATTTCGTCTCGGGGGTCATCTCAAAAAGATTTTTTTTAAATCTTTAATCTTCGCAAAGACACGAGGGCCTGTGGTCTAGGGTCCCCCCCTAGTCCACACAGAGTTGCGTTCCTTGGACGTATCATAATCCTATAATCGTGAGTTCGGATCCTAGATTACCCTGATATGATTCTTGAGTTAGGAGCACCATAGTAGAGCTCGTGGGTTTTCCAAAGTGGAAAGGACCTGAGACCTGCATCCCACCGGGTTTTCATCCCATATTAAACAGACACAGGAGATAAAACTGAAATACTATAGTGACGAAAAACAATTATGTACCAAAGCCTATTCGTCCCCCATCGCCGCCATCTTTGACGATTTGTATGCCGTTTCGGGATGCTATGACTGCCGTGTTGGGATGCTATGAATGCCGTTTTGTACGCTCGGCGACCGTTCTCGGGCGCTGTTGTAGCTGATACGCGAGTTTTGTTTCCATTTCAAACGATTTGTCTTCCGTTACAGATGTATTGTTTCGGTTTGAGAGGATATTGTTTTAGTTTTTGGTGATTTTTGTTCTGTTTTGGTGTATATGAGTTCAGTTTTGATGATTTGTTAACCGTTTGTATGGTAGGACTGCTATTGAAAGCCGCCATAGCTCAACTCATTTCTATCATCATTTACGACAGCCTCTGTGACGGTTTTCACACACAGAGATCCAGTGTGGATTCAAATAGAAAGCGTACGCGACATGGATTCAATGTAAACATGAAGCTCTTTTTTGGAGTCTCCTCTGTAATATCGGCATTAATGATGTAAAATCATGAAAGTTCCCAAGTAGGCCAGGTTGTCGCAATGGACAACTAAAGCTGGGATCGGGCATTGATCGGTTTCATTTATTTCTATTTATAGATGCATGATTGCGTCGGAAAACAATACTCACAAACTTGGAACTATCCACAGGCAGACTACAGTTATTATGTATATGCGTGAGTGAGTTGAGTTTTACGCCGCACTCAGCAATATTCCAGCGATATGGCGGCGATCTGTAAATAATCGAGTCTGGACCAGACAATCCAGTGATCAACAGCATGAGTGATCGATCTGCGCAATTGGGAACCGATGACATGTGTCAACCAAGTCTGACCACCCGATCCCGTTAGTCGCCTCTTACGACAAGCATGGGTTACTGAAGATCAATATTCTAACCCGGACCTTCACGGGTTATATTGTATAGGAATATGGTTGCGCTGATTTATCCAGTTGGTTCTCGGTGGTCATGCAGTCTTGGGTGTATGGGAGCCTAATTGGTACAGTGTCCGCTAGTTATGGTAAAAGCCAGGTTTGATTCCGCTCATTGGTACCGAGCCCATTTCTGGTGTCGACGACATTGATAACCACGGGCATTGCTGAAAGGGACATCGAACCTATCTCACAAATGTACTCATTATGTCAATATTAACCGAATTACCTTTCCATATCAGCTTTGTCTCATCTCGCCATCTTTTCTGGTCCCTTCTTTGATTTTTGAAGCTGGAATATTTTGAACACTGTTCACGTAATGTGAAGATCTGTGTTGGAATTGGTCTTCAGCAACCCATGCTTGCTGTAAGAGACGACTAACGGGATCGGGTGGTCAGGCTCTCTGACTTGGTTGATACATGTCATCGTATCCCAATTGCGTAGATCGATGCTCATGATGTTGATAACTGGAGTGTCTGGTCCAAACTCCATTATTTAGAGACTGCTGCCATGTAGTGGGAACATTGCGTAAAACTAAACTCACTCACTATAAAATGCTGTACTGATTTTGCAAATTTTAAATGATTTTCTGAATTCTTTCTTCTTGTTCCCTCATGAAAAATATAGGCTGAATGGACTTGAACTTAAACTTACTGTAAACATTTGAAGCTTGTAAGTGTGATTGGTGAGTGAATGTGTTGTAGTGTCTGGTGTTGTTGTTTTGTGCTTTGTTAGAAAAAAATCCTGTTTTTCCTGTGATCAATTAACCTTCTTGCAAAGGACCTTAGAGTTTCCTGGCTCTACGGCCTTTCCTGTAACAGGGGAAGCAGGAAATAAAAATTATCAATTATAAAAAAATAAAATGCTGTACATAGCGATCTTAGTGGTTAAGGTGATCGTAACTCTTCTACTTAAATAGACTTAGAACAATATAGTTCTGAGGTTGTTTTGTACAACGGCACCCTGGTCCACAGAAAGACCTTGCCACAGTTCTAACATGGATATCCTCTCGAAAACACTGGTCAACCTGTCAGGAAGTGTTTGATTCCCTGCATACCGAGTTCCAGACGTTCTTTTATATACTGTAAGCCATTAAAAATGCAATTTGACATTCACACTTTCTTTACTCACACTAATTCCAACATATATAAACCTAACTGGCAGATATGTTTTAAGTGAACATCTGTGAATAATTTCATCTGAAAATGTCCAGTCAACAACAACATCAGTGACGCAACAACGACATCACACACAGGAAGGGTCACTTGCAGTCAATGTCGTGTGTGTTCACCGTGCGCTGCAAGACATGCTCGCAGTCTTTGGGGCATTGAAAGACACACATTTCTCAGGAACAGCTGTTGGATGGTCTGCAGCCTCTGATGGTCTGTGGTCTGATCATGACACCACCCCCTCCAAAACGAACATGTTCAAGGACACAGTTTGGCGCAAGTCTTTCTCCTTTACGTCGATAAATCTGTTGGCGTCCATCTGCAAAGGATAAGTTAAACCTGGATTCATGTGAAAAAATGACATTTGGCCATGTCCTGTTGCCAAGATTGACCCCATTTGCTGCCTGGCAAGTCTATGGCGATGCAATAAGGTTGGACCACGGTACGGGTGACGACACCGGATGTTGAAGGCAGCAAGGCGTCCTTGCACCTTTTGGGCGCTGAAATGACGTTGACTTGTCCCAATTGTCCTCCTTGCCTAATCATCAGCTGTTTGAATCCGATTTCGCAAGTGTGAAACTCGGATATTGCGGTTTTGTCGAGCTGTTATCACAGGTGGTGCACCAGGTCGCGGATGATCAGCAACACTTCCGGTAGCCCGAAAACGTTGTCTGAGTCGACTTACAGTGGATGGGTGCACATTAAAGTGCCTGGCAATCATCACATCTGAAGCACCGTGGCTGACCATACCGATAACCTGATTCCTTTCGTCTTGTGTCAAGTGTGGCATTTTCTCAAAGTGATTGAGTTCCACAATTTCTTGTGCTTTTACAGGGCCTGGTTGCAGATAATGCATGTGCACAACGTGTTTCATGAATGTGGTTGTGTTTACGAGAAATGTCAAAGGTTCAGTTTTAAGTATCAAAGTTCATGTGAGAGGAATGCTCCGGGACTCGAACTCGAAATGGGCCAGAATAACAGCCTTTTTATCCCTACATCCTCTGTATCGCAGGAACAAATCTTCAATAGAACTGTTGTAAGTTTCAGGACAACAAATACCAATTGCGTTTTTAATGGCTTACAGTATATAACGCGACCGAGGAACAAACCTGCTCTTTCTATCCACTTCACCACCGAGGCTGTTCTTGATGCCATGACAACGATGATTGATATGGAGAAGCATGTACAATGTGAATGAAGCCCCCCCTCAATTTATGCACAAAATAAGTCCACCCCCTTCAAGTCAGGTACAAAATCATGACCCCCATAATTTCTAAGCATATTAAACATATTTTTATGTACAAAATTGCTGCCCCCATTACGTGTATAACATTGCTGCCTCACCACCGGAACAAAATGGTGACCCCTTAAAATCATCATCACTCCCCTAGCCATTAATTATAACGGTCCCTTAGGTGGAAACATACAAGTCTTACCGCTCTGAACACATCTTGGTTCCCCGACAATATCTTCATTTTATCCATTATAATGTTTTCCAAAACGTTTTTGGAATCATTTACGATTCCTCCTTTGGAGTTTAATAATTGAGGCATGTCTTTTTATTTTACTAACGTGAAGCTGCAGTCAAATTCACAGGTCCCCATGAAACCTTTGAAACTTCCAGTTACTGAAATCATGATCAATGATCCATTCACTTGGGATACAACAATATCCAATCAGCCAAGTCGGAAAGTCTGGCCACCCAATCCACTTAGTCACCTACAAGCATCACACGCTTGGGACTTGGGTTCTTTACCTAGTATGTGAGACAACCATTCCATGTTTGATCCAATCAGTCTGCAGAGTACCACTGACTGACTGACTGAGTTTGGTTTTACGCTGCTTTTAGCAATATTCCAGCAATATCACGGCGGGGGACACCAGAATGGGCTACACTCATTGTACCCATGTGGGGATTCGAACCCGGGTCTTCGGCGTGACGAGCCAACGCTTTAACCACTAGACTACCCCACCGCCCCTGCAGAGTACCAGGCAAGGTATACAAGAACTATTTGAGTTCAAACTCCTGACCTTCTGTTCCCCAGATGGACACTCTACCCAGGAGACCAGCGGGTGTCAGAGAACACATTCGATTGACAACATTTAACACAGACAAGAAGACACCATTTCATTAGGCACTGGTTTTATTATGATATTATCAATATATATATATACAAGACAGTATGTTCAATACAAGGACTATGTGTTAGACAGTTGAACATATTCTGTAACAAGTTTATTATATTAGACTATATCTTATTGTTTACACAGGAATATTAGGAAAACAATTTGATATGGGGCTACATACCAGGAGTGATTAGAAAGGAAACACTGTTTATACTGAGAGATTGAGGTGATAAGCCACTTTTAGCAATATCCACCAATATCTGACCAGGGGATACCAGAAATGGGCTTCACACATTGTACCCATGTGGGGAATTGAACCTGGGCCTTCGGTGTGACGAGCAAACGCTTTAACTGCTGGGCTACTCCACTGCCCCTAAATGTTTTAGAAATAGGTACTTGTCTGAAGAAATGACTGTCACTGTGTTATAATCCACAAAAATTTAAAGTGGTTGTCAAGAAAAAAATTACCATTTGTCCTTGTTTAGGACAAGTGGAGTTCGCAAATTTCAAAACCTGTTTATGACATGACATACAGGGTTGTTACAAGTCACATCTTATAATTCAGGAGAAAATAAGTCTGGAGTGTAGTGATAGGAGGTGTAACAGGATGTTTTATGAGCGTCACTGTATGTTTTACCCAAGACTAATGTCAGCTTTACAGTGTTAGCCTGCAGAAAGCCATATGGATACCCCACGCAGACACTATAAGGACTCCAAGTCCATCCGTCCTTGTACAACTTATATTTCAACATCCTTTGGTATTACAGCAACAGAAAGGAAACACAGACCTTCCGCTCTCCTGGGTGCCATTCACAAAGTGATCCTTGTGCTGAGATGATTGTAACTCCCACACTTAAGCATAGTCTTACGACAGAGCAATACGAACACTTTGTGAAACAGTTCCCCTGGTGGACCACAGGCCTGGCAAGATTAATGTCAGACACTGGCTAGGAGTGTGTAAACATTATGAAACATTTGGAATTTTAAACGTCTTGTTGATACGACATAAAATGGAGTCAGTGTTCTTCATCAGAACCTTCTCACTCAGAATATTTCAATATTCATGACAAGAAACAGAAATGCTTGGTTTGGACTATAAGGCTAAGGTAAGTAGATAAATTGAAATGTATTATTTTAAAGTTATCAAAGTGAAATGAATAAAGTCTACACGTCTCTGATCAGATTATATCTGGTGTTATTACAAAAGGATGGGATAAACCCAAGAAGTCAGCTATATCAGACCGACCAATGAAGAAATCAAGCATGAGTCATATTGGATAAGTACAGTTATAACCCGACCCTCAAGATCAACAGATTTTAACAGTTATACTATGATAAATATATCATAAAATAAACAAGTAAGCATTAAAAAGCACCCTGAACAATGTTAAATTCTGCCCTCAAGGAATGGATGTCCTCCACCATCTTTAAGTATATTTCTTGTCACATTTGCATACCCATTTCATCATTTTAAAAATTGAAGGAGGACTCTTTGTTTTTTTTTTCTTGGACTAGGAACATACAAATAGTTTGGAAATAATAGAAACACAATTAAATCTGAACCCTAACAATGCAGCCAGTTTAATATTTCGGCAACAGAGACAAATACTTTGCTTCACGAAAGCAATCAAAGGACAGTGTCATACAAAGATATCAGCTTGCATCTGTCTTACATATTATTTAACAATACCAGGCCATGTTTCTTCGATCACGCCCCCTAAAGCTTAATATGTGCAAGCTTTGTTATAAACATATATGTATCCTTTACACTGCAGTAAAAATAAAACTTGTTTTCCCCTTGAGAAAAGGAGCATTTGGAAGCTTATATGTGTGTGAAAGTATTGTGCAATTACATTGAAATGATTTTGTTAACAAAATAGAGGATCTTTCTCAAGTACGGGTATTGTGGTTGGTGTTAAGAAAGTTATTTACATTTAACGTTTTACATACACGTTTTAACACAATCACCAGAAATGTACACATATCAACATTGGTCTGATCACTTTCATGTACATGTTTGTTCAACAAAACTAATGCATAGATTCAGTGTGAGAAAAAAGATTAAATGAAGAAAATCAACAATTAAAAATAAGCTTTTAATCTCTCTCGGCATAGGAGAGACATGATAAAGGCTGAAATGAACAATAAAAATTGGAGGAAAATAATCAATAGTCACAAAGACTCCAAAGAAGATGAATAGACAACTGCAATTTATCTTATACTGAGCTAACCAAAATCTTGTTGAGAGCCGTATATGTGAGTTATAACAGCAAGAAAACTTGATTTTTTTTGTCAAGAAACCTTGTAACGCATCTATCGTAAAAATGTTTTTGTTCTAAGACACATCCAGAGGACCAGTGTTAACCTTAGTTTGTAGCTTGTCCTGCTCAAAGACAGAAACAGGGCTCGATTTAAGAGATGTTAACTTACTTGCACTGGGTGCAACCTAAGATAAAAACCTACTTGCACAAGCCCATTCCAGTTGCACTGCTTTTATTGGAATATGTAATGAAAGAAATATGCTATTGAATTATTTAGATGTTTTATTCAGAGGTTTACCCACTCAAAATTGACTTGCACCTGGTGCAAGTTAGACTAATAACAAGGTTGCATTTTGTAATATTAGGTTGCACCAGTGCAAGTATCAAAGCACTAAATCGAGCCCTGAGAAAGGTTTATAGTGTTCACAGTTTCTGTCAGTTTAATCAGTTCTAAGTTTAGGCAAAATGGAAGCATTGACAACTGATTCAAAATAAGAGCCTTCAACTGCTAATAGTCAACGAAGACTACCATCATCAAATTTACAATGTTCCTCAGCCCAATTTAGTAGCCTCGGGCTAGCAGACCAGCATGAATTTTGAAGGCTGGGTACATGACAATTACAGTTGGGATCTATTCCTATGTAGGTGACACCCAATTTACAATGGTAAGGTACACAAATTGCATCAAAACAGGTCAGGATTCAAACCTGAATTTCTGGAATGGCAGTTGAGTGCATGAACCAGTGAGCCCACCTTCACTAAATAATCCCATCAAATGTCAAGCAAACTATTTCCTATTTCCTTAGAGTAAATATATCATAGATTTTAAAACAAACCTATTTCGAAATTATATAAATTTATACTACTCAAAAACAATATCAAAGAACACCCAATCATATCAAATTGCAATACTTACAGCTGATGGTTTAACTTTAGTCAAATGACAAAATAGGTGTTCTTTAACATTTGGTTCTTTGTATATATTGTATATTAGTAGGAAAACCTTAACAGAAAATTAAATGCTGGTTAAAAAACATGAGATATCACCAAAATGTTTGTCTGTCTGCCCACAAAAGCAAAGTCTAATAGTTCTCTGAGAGGGTGGAGAGCTCAAGGATAAGAGCTCAGTTGTAACCATGGAAACAGAGCACTTTTCATGTCCAACCTATGCAGAACCTCAATCATACAATGATGTGTATATTATTATCACTATGATTGGAATAATGGCTTAAACAAAATCTTCCTTAATTGGCCTTGAAGGTTCTACCCCTGAAAAAGAAAGAAAAACCTTTGTTAGACCATCAGTTGAAACATTGCACTAACATCACCAGTATCTAATGGAAGGAAGCATAGTATCCGGCGTATGTTCCAGATTTGACATTAGTGTGCGTGAATTGGTTTTAGAGCCCCTTTAACACAAATTCCAGTATGTCAGCCCTGGGCTGGAGGAGGTGAGGTGAAATTGGGTTTAACGTCGTGCTTGAGAATATTTCACTCATATGACGACGTGAATGCGTGTGTATGTGTATGTGCGGCTGCTTGTACTAGCCCAGACTTAAGCTGGTTTTATAGAGCCAGCTCACTGAGATACCATGCCGCAGTGAAGCATGAATACCCCACTCAGACATAGTATACTGACTCCGAGCTGACCAGTCCTTGTACCCATTAATGCCGAGCACCAGGCAGGGACCAACAAGTACCATATTTTAATGTCTTTTGGTATGATGCGGTCGGGGATCGAACCCGCGACCTTCCGCTCTCTGGGCGGACGCTCTAACCACTACACCATGGAGGCGGTCCCTGGGCTGGAGGAAAGCTGAATGAGATGCATGTCTTAGGATGTTTCCTTTGGTAAAACCTGTGAGCATGTATGGTGCTGGAAACTTTGAACAGACAGTCATGAGTCCTTGGCCTAGCCTGGAGACAAATTCTACAGTGAGGTTTCACATTAAGATGAAAAACTGAGTAAAATTCAAGGTAGATTGCTTCATTCTTGCAAGCCTAGGAAAGGTATTATTTTAATAAATAAACTTAACACCTGTGAAGTTGTAACCATGATAACAGTTTACATACGTTATTGTCCTCTTTTCCTTCTCCTTGTTCTCTGGCCGAGCTCGGTTCAATACCTTCAGGAAGTCTGTCGTCTTGGCTCGCATCCTCTGATGGATGTATGCCTGAAGGTCAAGGTCAGATATATGTATTCAAGGGAGGTAAAAAGGGGACTTCAGGGCTCAGTTTCACAAAGCTCTCGTAGCTATGACCATCATAGGTCAATGTTACAGTATAGGAGGTAGGAATGCTACGAGGAAAGTTACGAGAGCTGAGGCTTACGAGAGCTTTGTGCAATGGGGCCCAGGGCTATGCACAATGCCTTCAAGAAATCAGCAAGTTAGGTTTTCAAACTGAATTTTGCAATATTCCAACAACATCATGGCAGGAGACACCAGAAATGGGCGTCACACATTGTATGTGTTCTGAAGACATTTTGGCTTTTCATTAAAACTGCTCGCTCAAACACACCCAGTGCAAACTGGTCCTGACACTTGAATACACCCGGCCCCGATTTCTCGAAACAAACTTAAGTCTTAATTTCGACTTAAGTTAGAGTTTTTCTTAAATTTGAGAAAATGCATTTCCCAAAATGAACTAAAATCGATATCAAACTCAAACATAGTAGACGATTTGAGTTTGGTGGATAGATTACTTAAGTTGTTTGGACTTTTTTATTTAAAAAATGCAGTTGAGTTAAAAATTCAGCTGTTTCAAATTGTCCAACTCAGTTTGAAATTTGAGTAAAAACTTCAGTTTGTTTCGAGAAATCGGGGCCGGAGATGGGGATGAATGCATTCAAAATTGTTTAACGATACAAAGTTGTTTAAGGGTATTTAAGACGGTGGTAAACAATACGCCAGCCCATTCGTTCTTAGGCATTAGACTTGTAGGACTGATTTGGTTTTTTTAGGTGCAGGTTCATTTTGCTATTGTGGCGTTAGATTAGCGGCTTTTGAGCGTTACATTGTTGTACTTGTGTTAGAATGTTGTAATGTTTAAAAGTTAGACAATTAGCGGTATTTAGCGGTTTCATTCAAAGTTCATTTTCTTCATTTAGAATCACTTAAGACAATCATGTTTAGTTCATTGTAAATCATCCAGTTTTCTCACGTGTAATAGTTGTCACGTTTAGTTCCTTGTTTAGACCAAAGGTTATGTTTTAAATATACCTGATTAGCGTTCAGTTATATTTTTTAGATATTTCTGCACATGTTTATTCCACTGCGCAACAGTCTGACATGAGGAACAGAACCCGAGTTTTCTTCAGCGTGACGAGCAAATGCTTTAACCACCAGGCCGTACACAGTATATCAGCCATATGTTCTCCCTAAAGCACTCACCTTGGAACACTTGATATGATAGTGAAGGTAATCCCTAAGTGTGTGAATTAGGTTGATGGTGTTATCCCGTGCTTTCCTGTTGGTGTGGCGCGGAAACAGAACTGAAAAATACATGGAACTGAATCAGTGAACAGTGAAACTACGACAACAGTTAGCATCTACTCAAAATTTCATAGCATTGCCAATCCCAGAGGCCAAGAATCCCAATACATACAATTTTCAATGTCTCACTCTGAGTGTGAAGGCCTAAATAGCAGAGGGGATTCAACCCCCTTCAAAGTCACAAAATCTCTCCTTTATGGTGAGTTAGTAAGCTTGGTCTTACACCGCATTCAGCAATATTCCAGCAATCCCATGACAGAGGACTCCAGAAATGGCCTTCACACATTGTACCCATGTGGGGAATCGAACCCGGGTCTTCGGTGACATACGTGTCCTTTAACACTAGGCTACACAACCGCCCCTTTATTTACTGAGAAAGTGTAACCCCAAATAAACATATGTCTCTACAGATCTGAGGACATGAAGTTACAGGTCATGTCAGAATGTTCATGCTGCCACTCACCGAAAGTAATGTATCCTATATTGTTCCCGGTTCTAGCCTCAGTGTTCTCTAGTTCCTGAGGTGGCTCCTTGTGGCTGAACAACACTTGGGGGGCTTGCTGGTATTTTCTTCGGCCTTCCTTGAATTCCTAGAATATCATTTCAAGGTGAGGTGAAATTGGGTTTAACGTTGTGCTTGAGAATATTTGGCTCATATGACGAGGTGCATGCGTGTGTATGTGCGACTGCTTGTACTAGCCCAGACTTAAGCTGCTTTTATAGTGCCAACCCACTGAGATACCATGCTGCAGTGAAGCATAAATACCCCACTCAGACACATTATACTGACTCCGAGCCGACCAGTCCTTCTTGTACCCATTAATGCCGAGCGCCAGGCAGGGACCAACAAGTACCATATTTTAACGTCTTTTGGTATGACGCGGTCAAAGATCGAACCTGCGATTTTCTGCTCTCCGGGCAGACACTCTAACCACTGCACCATGGAGGCGGTCAATATCATTTCAAGACTAAGTATGAAGTGTATGCATGTAATTGATTGGTATGGTGCTGGCAAAACAAGAAACAGGTCGTGTTTAAGTTATAAGATACTGTCTTACCTGCATAAACACTTTTCCTATCACAATGTCATCGTCATCTTTGAAGATTGTACTGAAAATTACAGTTGTTCTATCTTTTTTAGCTTCTACGTACCTGTCAACAGAAATACATAACAATATTTATTCAACAGAGTGAGTGAGTGGGTTGGGTTTAATACCACTAAGAACTGTGTTCCAGTTAAATCACTGCAAGACAACTTGAGATGGGAGGATTGATTGAGTTTAGTTGAGTTTCAGCAATATTCCAGCTACACGGCGGACACGGAAGGAAAGTCACATCCCCAAAAATGTTTTCATATTTAAAATAGCACTCAGTAATATTACAGCACCATGAAATAGTTCAGACAATCCAGTGACTGACAGCGTGGGCATCAGTCCATGCTGTGGTTACAGTGACATGCATGTAACCATGTCAACATACCTAACAACATAAACCATTAGTCAAGTTTCCGTTCCCGTGCACACAACAAGCAAGGGTTGATTGGGACCAAGTCAGACCTCGATATCATAACCAAAGTTAAATGAGGAACCTAGATTCAATAACCCCAGGAGAAAGCACAAAATGAGTGAGTGAGTTTACGTCCCTCTTAGCAATATTCCAGTAACATCACGGCAGGGGGACACCAGAAATGGGCTTCACACATTGTACCCATGTGGGGAATCCAACCAGGGCCTTCGGCGTGAGGGGCGTACACTTTACCACTAGGCTACCCATCGCCCAAGGCAGTGTTTCCGCTGACTTAATTATTTATCGGACACTGTGTCAGGCGACCTAAAATTTTACCGGTCATGAATGAAATTTGTCGGTCGTATCTTATTGCCATACTGTAAGTACTCATTTTAAAGTTATTTTTAGCCTGGGTATTTCCGAAAGATAAGAATTTTTGCGACCACGAAAGCACAGCCAAGACTGTCATTTCGCTTACCCATGATTTTTTTATTTTAATACATGATTATTTACCGGACGCAGTGTCCGGCTGGGTTTCAATTTACCGGTCCCTAGCAAATTTTACCGGTGATTTTCAGGTATATACCGGAGAACGGAAACACTGCCAAGGAATAAAAGATCCGATCAATCTTGTATGTCATTAAACATAGCACTCACTAATATCACTGCATACATGAGGCAGTCTGTGTGTGAACCAGACAATATTGTGATTGACAAAATGTGCCTCAATCTACTCAAATGGGATATGCTGACATGCATGAACAAAGTAGCCAAGCCTGACCACCCAATCCCCTTAGTCACCTCTTATGACAGGCACGGGTTACCGAAGTTTGTTTGTTGTTTAACGCTGCATTCAGAAATATTCCATATTCCAATATGGCAGTAGTCTATAAATAATCAAATCTGGACCAGACAAACCCGTGAATAACATCACACGGCTCCAGATAAGGGCTGTATCGGCGTATGTAGGGACATAAAATAAGCACGATACGGTAGGAAATAATTTAGAAAACGTAGCAGATACGCACCACAGCAATGGTGTACGGTCTTAGAATCATTTACAGATGTATTTATCTGAAAACGTTATTCTTTATTGACCTGTTTACACAAGAGTAGCAATGTTGTGGTGTATATGAAACGAAACACAAGATTACTGATACTCCATTAAATTCGATTCAGTACTCTAAATGTACTCTTATTGTTTTCCAGTACTCCTATATAGAAAACATAAGGAGTGCGTACTTCTGATCATGAAAAATTATCCGGAGCCCTGCATCATGTACACCGACCTACGCAATTGGGATACGATGACGTGTCAACTAAGTCAGCCATCCTGACCACCGTATCTTGTTAGTTGCCTCTTATGACAAACAAGGCTTGACAGAGACCAATTCTAACCCTGATCTCGTAAACTAAACTCAAACTGTTAATATGACGAAGCACCTACATGGTTTCATCTTCCCTGTACTGGATGACAGCTCTCTTCTTGCTCTCCTTCCCTTGTTCCTGGAAGTCGAAGTATTTCTCAAACACTGACGCAAAGCAGTTCCGCTTCAGGAGGGCTGCCTTCTTCACCTGTTCTTCATGATCTGACGGAATGTTGTCTAGGTCAAACACGATTGACACGTTGTAGCCTGTCAAACATAACACATCATGGCTTACTAGATATGGTCAAGTTTCTTCAGGAGAATACGTCATTGTGGCCTATGAGCATCAACAAACTGAATTCATACGACACTTGTGTCTCAATGCCCACTAGGGATTGGTATTGCCGAGAATTTTTATATTGCGATATATTGCGATGCAAAAGCATGTATAGCGATATATATTGCAATATATTGCCTGAAGAATTTTTAAACAAAAAACTACTTATAATCGAGTTAATGCCCGAGTTTTAGAGCAAAAACACAGCAAAGTCACTATGCTTGATTAAGCTTTAATAACAACTTTTCATCATGATAAAATAGAAATGTGAATAATAATTGGCACAAATGAAACAAGGAAATCTCCGAAGATTTCAGTGTTATGAATGCAAGTCAAATATACAAAATGCGGGTTTTGATCAGTAATGCACCAATGCAATTATCGATGTCTGAACCGGAAATACCCGGTAAACCCAGTTATATTGTGCAGCCCTAATGCCAACAATGTAATATATTGATTTACAACCTCTGTAAGCAACGTATGCAATACAAGCTGTATTGGTGGTAAACTGTAGTTTATAAGTTAGTTATATAACAGTCAATCAGGGATGAGATTAGGAGATGTCCTCTCACCTTGAAATAAAAACATTGATGAGTTTAAAGAGTTTCTCATGTCATAAGTCATGATTTAAGGTTGAGTCACCTTCAAAAGTCTGGTTTCAGGATATGCCTCATATCCACACTATCAGGATATGGATCATATCCCAACCCTACCATATCCCATCACTCCAGTGATATGCCACGTACCTGCTTCTGCTGTGGTGAGATACGATCCATATACTCTCTTGATCAACTGGGGACAGAAACGACTACATTTAGGAAACGATGAAACCTGACCTATTCCTATTTGTCAATACTTGACGAAGACAAAAGAGGGAACAGGCCTTTTGCCCAAATGGAAAGGTCAAATTTTAATGTTGTGCAATTGTTTTTCATAATGGTTTGGCAATTACCATGATCATCAAACATGTTCAAAAGACTGATGAGACAAATTTTCTCTCTTACACTTGCAAGGTTCTTTGGTTCCGTTATGTTCAAGTGAGGAGTGACTTTAGTTTTATGCCGCACTCAGCAATATTCCAGCTATATAGCGGCGGTCTGTAAATAATCGAGTCTGGACCAGACCATCCAGTAATCAACAACATGAGCATCAATCTACACAATTGGGATCGATCACATGTGTCAACGAAGTCATCGATACTGACCACCCGATCCCGTTGGTCGCCTCTTACGACAAGCATGGGTTACTGATGGCCAATTCTAACCCGGACCTTCACGGGTCCAAAACTCACTGATAATTAAGCAGTAAAGCTAGGTTTTTCAAAATTCAAGAGAAAATCTATAAGTAAGTCAAGCTTATATAACTGTATTTGCTAGACATTGGTACAAGTGTTGAATATTAGGATGAACACTTTTATTTGTACAGAAAATACTTACTGTATCAGCTCCATGTTCCTGTAAATCCTTGTAGAATTTGAGGGAGATGCTGATCTGTAAATGACATGGAAATAAATAATGCCATTCTGAAATAATGCATGTACGGGTAAACATTCAACAAATGGGAAGCATTCAACATGCATAGGACACATTCAACCACACTGGAATCATATAACAAACAGGTAACATTCCACAGATGGGGAACATATAGAGGACACATCTAAAACACATGGGACACATTCAAGACACAGGTAACAGTCAACACCAAGGAGGAACATTCAACACCAAGGAGGAACATTCAACAGACATTCAACACACAGGGAGACATTCAACACACAGGACACATTCAACATACAGGCAAAACAATGTAAAGGCAAAACATTCACCCCACATGTCAAACATTCAAGCAAATCAACATGAAGGGTAATGGGATATTAATCTGTACAACATTAGAATAGAGTCCAAAATAAATTATTGATTCATGATATTGTTTATTGAAACTCCAGTAAACACTGAACTTTCCTTAACACAATCAGCAGTTTCCTATTGCAATGACATGGAGAATAAACTTGCTCACATGAGGAACAATGACAGGTTTTATTTCAAATATAGCTGTGACAGCAATCTTATCCTGTTTTATTTGTTTCGTTTTTTGGTTCAAATGTCACAAACATAAAAATACCAATGTGCATGAACATAACAAATTAACTGGTTAGCGTGATATTTTTCAAAACCTATCCACATCAAACTGAGACAACAACCAACCTACCATGATTTTCGACTTATCCCCATCAGGATTGGATATGTGGTACAACACTCCATCAAAATCTGGAAACAGTCAACAAACATTCATAAATACTTCTAGATGCATATCTGGGTATTGTTTAATTTTATATAAGCTAGTTGAGGTACTATTACAAATTTGTGGGTATGTAAACCAATATTAGGCATGTGAGCGGTTGTGTCAGTCACAGTATAGATGGTTGGACTGACTGAGTTTAGTTTTACGCCCCTTTTAGCAATATTCCAGCAATATCACGGCGGGGGACACCAGAAATGGGCTTAACACATCGTACCCATGTGGGGAATCGAACCCGGTCTGAAGGGATGGATAGCATACAAATTTAACGCTTTAACCACTAGGTTACCCCACCGCCCCATAGATGGTTGGAAGATATGCCTACGCATCCCTAAACACACAATCACATGATTCACATTTCAAGGTCAGCTTAAGATATCCAAGTTACGAAAAACTTAAACCCTATGGTGCATTACTTAAAGCAACCCAGTTGATACATGAGACACCTGCAAACGTCAGCAAAGAATCAGCAGTATAGATAAAACAATATCCCAGGAAAGGTTATTTGTAGTAAATATGCACAGTTATTATGACTTAACCATGTTAACATTTTTAGTCATTCTGTTGCCATCTAAAAATTTACGCCCATATTCGACAAATATATTTGCATATTTTGTTTATGCACAATCAAAGCATCTAAGCAGCATGGCCAAACCCACCAAATAAGGAGTTATAAAGACACATAAATCATGGAAACATACACACCTGCTACTGTTATGTCCACTCCATCAGGCTTTCCTCTGAAAAGACAACCACAATCAATTATTTTCATATCAGAGGAAAACAAATATGATAAAATAGACGTGTTGTGTCTGTCAATGCAACTGCAGTTGTTCACACAATTGTTTGCCGAGATAAGGGAATGTGGTGTTCTTAGCATTGCTTAGAACCTTTTATAAGATTTCATTTGACTTGTTCACCCATTGTGAAAAAGATGAATTCAAGTTAACAAATCCTATTTGAATCAGTTATACCACACATGATCAATAGCACAAATTCAAAGAGAACATTTCTACCAAAACATTTGTATCTACAACCACAAACTTGGTTGTTCTTTTCATTTGCAATATATATTATTGCAACACCTGAAGATCAGGGTCAGAATTGGTTTTCAGCAACCCATGCTTGTCTTAAGAGGTGACTGACGAGATCGCTGACTTGGTTGACACTTCATCGTATCCCAATCGCATAGATCGATGATCATGCTGTTGATCACTGGATTGTCTGGGCCAGACTCGATTATTTATAGACCATCTTCACACAGCTAGAATATTAATGAGTGTGGTGTTAAACAACAAACAAGATATTATAGCTGTAAAATAATGCATTAGTATTAGCTTTGCATACTAGGCCTAACAGAATCTGACTATGCTAGGCCTTTGCACTTGTGGCAAAAGTTGCAGACTGTGCTCAAGTTCGTGTTCTCAAGCTGGTAAACACAATAACACTAGCTGAACCATCTCTGTGCCTCGCAGGAAGTTGAGTCATAGGTAACACCCCAGTCTGTTAACTTCCATTAAACTAATGACAGGAGGCCGTACCCAATCCGACATGGGCCACTGCTCCAGAATGTTTACAACTCTGCTATTCGTGAAAGTTTTTGACACATTGGCTACAGAGTCCATTTGTTGGGTTTTCTTCGTCCAAATTACTGGGGCGTTATGACACGAATGATAAGCGGTGCACGAAATCCGTAAGGAAAATGTAACAGTTATGGGTGAAAATATGCGATATTAGGGAGACAGTGGTTCGCAAAGAAGCTTTAATTCAACGAAAGGAAGTGGGCTTGTGTGTAAACACACTTGAGGATAGAAACAACTTAATAAAGATCTTGTAAACTTTGAAAACCCTTGCCTTTAGCAATAATTGACATGCGGAAGTGGAATAAACGGGCACTGCCTCCAAACCTGGTCACGCCGGCTAAGACTTACGGGTGATTTTAAAGCATTGACAAACACTTACCCTTCTAAAACATTTCTGAATTTTGTTGTCAGAGTCTCTTCGACTATCCTATTGCTTATTTCGAGTAAAATCATCGCAATTAACGATGTTGGACTTCTTTCCACCCTCGCTCGTGCTCACCAAAGAGGAAGTGACAATAAAAGATGGCGGAGTATCGGCGATTTTGATTGGCTTGTTTCAAGTCACATGATCCATGAGAAACTCACCGCTAAAACTTTCCTTCTCACACATACACAGCTGATGTATTTCGTATATTTCGAAACTATAAAGTAATTAAAACGAGAAATTATAATATTAGATTTCAGGTTTATTTTAAAAGTAACAATACATCTGCTTGTCGCTGATGATATCATCTGAGTAATGCTTGTTAATCAATCAAATCGCGCGTGGGATATGTTGCAGTCAATGTGAAATGCAATGGGTCTTTTTTTGCCTTAGGATATTAATATATAAAACACCCAAAATATAGTTGTTAAATTGACTGACAAATCCGCACAACGCTGACATAAACGAATGAAAACAAAATGCAAATTGCGCAAATACAACCAACGAAAGATATGCATGATACCGGTATATGGTCTCTGCATATATTTATAGTTACCTTACTTTCGGGGAATTTATCCGTCAATATTCACACAAGGGGTTGGTTTGGGTTGTTGTTTTAAGCCGCACTCAGCAATATTCCAGCTATATGCGGCGGTCTGTAAATAATTGAGTCTGGACCAGATAATCCAGTGATCAGCATCATGAGCGTCGATCTACGCAGTTGGGATACCATGACATGTGTCAACTAAGTCAGCGAGCCTGACCATTCGATCCCATTAGTCACAACAAGCATCCGTGGGTTATTGAAGATCAGTTCTAATATTAACCCCAGGAACCACTGTCCTGCAGAGGTGCAGTGATAGAGTGACTGTCCGCCTGCGCTTGCAGTGATCGCGTGCTTGTTTTGGTGGTAAATGTACGTTCGGTGTTAAAAATCTAGTCACCATTTGTGAAAGACGAACAATATCATTTAAATATTAACATTACTCGGATGCAAAGGTTTTGATGTTTATTTATAGAAAGTTTTGAGTTGCTTTGTTAAACACGAAGAAAGCAATCAGCGAACATCTGCAGAACATACCTTTTCAAGTAGACAAATACTAAGTTTATTTCCTAATAGTTTGATTTTACAGTATTTCATCTTATTTTTATATTTCTTTTTAGCGGTCCAATGACTGTACACCTACTGTGCATGCTTGCAGTGATCTTAGTTTTTTTCTTGCAGTGATCGTTATCGTACAGTGTTTTCAAACATGAGCATGGACCATGTTGAGCCGGAGAGGATGTTCCGATGTGAGAAGAAGACCACGTTCCGTCGTTTAAACAGCACATCTGAAGAACTGAATACTTGATAGTTAGTGGTAATGCTGTAAAGCAAATTGGATGACGAGTTTAGGTTGACCGTAAATAGTTCACCAACAGAAAATGAAATCGTTCACCATGACCAATTGCCTGGGTTCTTAAATCGTTCACTAACTGTTTTGATGGTGTTGGTCTTTCGAGCATGAAAGTTCGAAAACGGTACAACATTATGCATTCAAATTTGGCCCAAAGATAGTTAGATAATTCCTCTAAAAGTTGGTGTATTTTGTTTTTCGTTTATACAGCAATGATACCTTAACTTTGATATGTTTATGCATCTTTACGGAAACGTAGCCGAACATAGACATTGTTTTGCAGGCTCATGGGCTTGTATAATGACGGATTGGGGACAGCGTGGCCTATGCAAATATAGATATAGACATTTTCCCTACACCTAAAAATAAACCCGGCTCACCTCTCGCGTGAAAAATCGTTCATTCCACATGCTATGAAATATTTCCTGCCGTACACACCGCTCCTACGGTGTGGAAATGGGGCTTAGCCTCACTGAGAGATACGCACATTCCGCACATAGAGAGAGAGAGAGAGAGAGAGAGAGAGAGAGAGAGAGAGAGAGAGAGAGAGAGAGAGAGAGAGAGAGAGAGAGAGAGAGAGAGAGAGAGAGAGAGAGAGAGAGAGAGAGAGAGAGAGAGAGAGAGAGAGAGAGAGAGAGAGTGTATGTATGTATGTATATAAGGTTTTAGGGCGACCTTGGGCCTTAAAAGGCCTATATGCGCCCAACACTTAACAAACTGTTATATTTTTGTTCAGTTAAATAACATCGTACTTACCCGTTTTAACGAGGAAGTCTAAAAGAGCTCTTTGTATGCAACCATACATTAAATTATCGCCAAGTATTGCGTTCATTGAAAACGTATTTTGGGCTTTGTTAAGCACAGTTTCTTTAAGAGCCTTACGTGGGTTTTCATGAGCTGGACATTCAATGAGGTAGTGCTGAACTGTTTCTGGGCACTGTAAGTTACAGCTTTCACACAGAGGAGATAAGTCTTTATCTAAAATACTTCTATATGCCTTTAATCCACAATGTCCCAGCCTGAGACGAGTTAAAACAACTTCATCTCTGCGACAACGCCGACGAATTTTAAAATGTTTGTTTACTACAGGACAAGTAGAGTGCATGTGTCTACCTGTAGTTTCATTATCCCATTTATTTTGCCAAGATGCATTTATTGAAGATGAAATGACAAACCAGTAATCTCTTGGAATGGGCTTAATTGAATGAATATCTGGCTGTGGTCTGTTGCAAGCCATCTTAGCAATTGTGTCAACTACTTCGTTTCCAGCTACACCAACATGTGCAGGAATCCAAACAATATCACAGCTGATGTACATGGAGTTTAAAACAGTATCAAGATACAAGATGTCGTATAGTATGTCACTGCGTGGACCTTGTACACCTGATTGAATTGTTTGTACAGCTGACAACGAATCAGTAAAAATTATTGCTTCGTGTTCATTATCTTTACCCATTTTAAAGCTTGAAGTATGGATGTCAGTTCTGCTGCAAATACAGACAGATGATCAGTCAATCTAAATCTTTGGATAAACCAAGATCGGGAATATAGAAAGCCCCACCAACATGACCGGTTCTGGGATCCTTTGAAGCATCAGTGTAAATATGAGTAAAATTGCTATATTTGGTGTGAATGTAATCTTGGGTGAGGATTTTAATAACACTTGGTGACATTTGTTTGTTTACAAGCTCCGATAAATCCTGTGAAATCGAAGGTTGTGTTAAAGTCCATGGAACCGTTTTCGGAGAGATCGAGCAGCATTCAACTGAAGATTGTTTAACTTGTACTGTAATGCAAATTGTTGTACAAGTAATCCAAACGGTGGTTTTCCATGATTCCAATCACACATGACATATTCCACGCAATCACACAATATATCAGTTGCTGGTTGATACCTAGAGGAAGCTTTTAAGGATAAATAGTACTTAAGGGCAACTTTAAGACGATGATATTGCAAAGGAGGTTCTGAGCATTCCACCTGCAGGGCAGAAACTGGAGTAGTAGGAAAAGCACCAGTGCATATCCGAAGAGCTTTGGCTTGAACACGATCAAGTTTAGCCAAATGACATTTTGCAGCATTCATAAAAACTTGACAGCCATATTCTAATCTAGACAAAATTAGTGCTTTGTACAACAGAAGCAAGGATGATTTATCAGCACCCCACTTTGTGGCAGACACGCTTTTCAGTAAATTGAGAGCTTTAGTACATTTTGATGAAATGTAGTTGATGTGGTTTGACCAAGTGAGTTTTTGATCAAAGATTACACCCAAAAATTTAAATTCAGAAACAAATTTTATGTCCTGACCACCAATGTGTAGCTTCAGATTTGGAGGAACTTTACGTCTTGTGAAGAACATAGCAACTGATTTAGAAGTTGAAACCTTGAACCCCCACTTTGAACACCAAACATCTATAGAAGTTAGAGCTAATTGGATAGACTTATGAACAAACTCAATGTTTCCAAAACGCCTCCAACAAGCACCGTCATCTGCAAATTGTGATGCATCAATGTTTAAAGGAAGTTCAGAAAAGAAATCATTGATCATTATATTAAAGAGCAAAGGGCTTATAACACTGCCCTGTGGAGTGCCATTTACGATAATTCGCATGTCAGACACGTGTTGCCCAATACGAACTTGTATGGTTCGATCAGTTAGGAAGGACTTTATCCACTGTAGCATACGTCCCTTTACCCCCAAGCTTTGCAGTTTAAATAAAAGTCCATTTCTCCATAGCATATCATATGCCTTTTCAATGTCTAAAAATACACACAGCATATACTCTTGGTTTCCTAGTGCTTTTTGTGCTTCATTTTGTAGTCGAACTAGATGATCTATGCAAGAACGAGTTTTCCTAAACCCACACTGTAGCCTCGTTAATAATTCATTTGATTCTAAGTAGAAATTCAAACGATTTGTGACCAACCTTTCCATGATTTTACACAGGTTAGACGTTAAGGCTATTGGTCTGTATGAAACAGGGCGAGATGGATCTTTACCAGGTTTGGGAACAGGGATAACAACAGCGTGTCTCCAGCTTTTGGGTAACTTCCCAGATATCCAGCTTTGATTTATGATATTAAGTATGACTTCTAGAGCTGAATCTGGCATATGTTTAAAGTGTTCGTAACACAATTCATCGGCACCAGGAGATGTATTCTTGCCCTTTGATAATGCCGATTTTAATTCTCCCAGGTGGAAGGATAAATCATATTCAGGAAAAGGTTGTAGTAAAGAATCTGAAATTATTGGAATAATCTCATTCTCCAAATTTGTGATTTCGTTTTTAAATTTTGTTGAAAAGTTTTCGTAGCTGCTAACAGCCTCAAACTGATCTGCTAAAAGATTTGCTTTCTCTTCACAGGAAATAGCGCTTTGATCCAAAACAGGAATAGGGGATCTATTACGGTTCCCACTAATCCTTTTTACCTTGACCCAAATTGAAGATAAGGAAGTATGCCTGTTTATTGTAGATATGTAAGAACGCCAACTGCTGCGTTTTAATGATCGTACAAGACGTTGGAATTCAGCCCGTTTTTTCCGAAAGTCGTCTAAATCAACCGGTAAGGATGTCCTGCGAAGTCGGTTATAAGCCTTTTGCCGAGCTTTATCGGCTTTATCACAATCCTTATTCCACCAATACTGAGAATTTCGAGTAGTTGGCTTTCCGGAAGTTTTACCAATAGCTTTTTCTGAGATTTTAGT